AAGCGACATAGGGGGGGGGGGGGGCAAGGCTCAGGTCATCACGCGAGAGAAGGGGGCTAGTGGGCGCAGCTTGTGTGCCTCTAGTCTCCTGCTAAACCAGCTAAAAATAAACAGTAGGGGATATGGCCCCATGCTGACCGTCCTGCCGGACACCACCGCTCTCATAAAGAGGTCCTCAAGAGTAAACATCAAGGGTTCAAAAAAGTGGTGTTGATCCGCTCATGCAGCTATTAGAGCATGTGAGGCCGACGGTGCGAAGGTGAGTGAGCCTATGGGGGCAGCCCCGCTGCTCGGCGCTCGGCACCCATGCCGGTGGCAGGCGCCCAAAACCTGCAAGAATCGAACTCGAACTCGACTTGTGCAACATGTCGGCTGGCTGGCGGAAAGGTTGCAACCGGCACCGCCTGGGGACCCCCGCATGCGAGCCCCCACGGCCGTCATCCTTCTAGTAGCAACTGGCTACTAGCTGAGGTGGGCCGGCCGGCCATCCAAATCTCGCATCACGATGCTGAGATAGCATGATGCGCCGCCGAGGCATTGCCAGGCGCCACCCGCCGGCGCCGCTACTTCATCAGCGTGCAGCCCAGCTGCGCACACTGACAAGCACACCAGCCAGCCTAAGGTCTGCAAGCATAAGGTCCGCAACCAGCACCGGGACCGCCACGAGGGTGCACGGAGCGCGGAGGGCAAAGCCAGTGAGTGTATGATGCACTGTTAGGGAGTGGAAGAAGGATAGTGCGCTGGTGGGAAGGGGCACGGGAGACATTAGGCCAGTATCAGCCGAGGGAGAGGAGGACAGTACAGTGCTCGCGCCGAGGCACGTGCCTCGAGCAGCGGCGGCAGCGTGGCGGCAGCACCGCCCCACCCCGCCCACCACAGAGGCAGCCCGCAGCGCAGCTCTCAAGCCAAGCATGGTCGGTGAAGGCTAGAAGAAGCGCAGGAGGAGCGCCTGAGGACCGGCTGCGCCCTGCCCCCATGGCTGGATGCGCTGCTGCACCTACACGTCCACAGCGCCCGCACACGCAGGAGTTTTAAGGCCATGCAGTCGCCGGCAGCTCTGGGGCGATCGAAAGATGAAGGGCGCTACGGGGTTACCCTCTAGAGCGCTCGGTTGTTAATCGGCTGGGGGGTAGAGCCTAGAGCGCTCGGTTGTTGATCGGCTGGGGGTAGAGCGCTGGACTGTAATCACCTCCGAGATTGCTTCTTCAAGCGAGTCTGTGTGGGAAACAGGCCCAGCAGCAGGTCAGCTGCTGCCACAGCCACCGCCACCGCCTCACCACCGCCTCACCGCCAGCGTATGCTGTCGCTGAACGCACTGGGGGCACTGGCTCGATCTCCCACTATTTTACTGTTGGCTGCCGAGCCACCACAAGAGGATGCAGCCTGCTGTCTCAGCCCGTGCATCCCGCCTGCCGCCAGCATCGTCTGGCTACGCCTGACCGGCAGCTTGCTGGCTACGCCTGGTTGGCGCCGCTGTACCGAAACTGTGTCGTCATGTTGAGCTTGACGATGAGGGCATCAAACTTGTGGTAGCGCGGCGCCTCCTCCTCCCGCCTGCCGGCAGCGCGTGAAGCGTCAGGCAGCATCAGGCACCCAAGCGCAGTGAGGTACAGCTGCTGGCGTCTGTCGCTGCCTAGTCGCTCGACCCCCTCCTTCCTCCCAAACACATGCCGAAGCACACAACAAAACAAAACACGCCCCCGAGCGCAGGCACCCCCGCACATAAACACAAACACACACACCTGCAGCAGAATTCTGTGGTCATGTGGTCCACACGCCGGTCAAAGGCCGCCGCCGCCGCCGCGTCGCCAAAGCCGCCGTAGGCGCGCTTCGTGGCGCCCACCCCCGCAAAGTTGAGGCGCCACACGCGGTAGCTGCGGTACTTCTCCAGCAGCGGCAGCAGCTGGGCGTCGGGCAGCGCGGGCGGCACCAGCAGCACCTGCCCCGCCCCCTCCTTCACGCAGTCGCTGCAGTCTAGCGCCGCCGAGGGCTGGATGATCAGCACAGAGTCCTGCGCATGCGCACGACAAGAAGCGGGGCGCGGCGGTTGGGGAGGTGGCGCGTGGTGTGGTGGCAGGGTGGTGGTGTGGGGGAGGGAGGAGCACGTTAGAGGCAGGCAGGGGAAGATGCAAGGGCGCCAAGCCAGGAAGCAGGCAAGCGCTGCTTCCAAGCTTCTGGGAAGCAGTGCGCCAAGCCAGCGTTCGGGACTGCAGCCCCATGCCTCCACCTGCCAGCTGCCCCTCCCCTGCCCCCAAACACCCCACACCCCACACACCCAGCCAGCTCCCTGCACCCCCACCTTGACCTGTGCCGGCGTGCGTTCGTTCTCGAGGAAAGAGGCCTCGCGGATGGCCAGGGGCGGGCCCCAGGCCTCGGGGGCGTCGTCGTAGTTTGCGGGGTCGAACAGGTAGTCCTGGGGGCTGCGGCAGCGGCGCGGCAGCGGTGGCGATGGCAGTGAGGCGGGGAGGTGGGCAGGCGCGAGGTGTGTGCTTCCTAGTGTGGTGGGCAGGCGGGCAGGTGTGAGGCGTGTGTTTTTCGTAGTGTGGGTGGTGGGCGGAGACAGGCCTGCCTCCGCCACGCCGGCAGCCCACCCTGCCCGCCGCAACGGCAGCTTCAGGCCACAGTGCAGGTGGACGGGCGGTTGCCCCTCCCCTGCCAAGCATGCCCTTCTGCAGGGAGTCGGCAGCAGCGCAAGCCGAGGCGTCGGCGCAGGCCTCGCAGGCCTCACCAGGGCACGGGGAAGGGCATGGACTGGGCGTCCACCACGCGGCACCGCACCACCCCATACCAGATCTTCTCACAGTAGCACTGGAACTGCGGGGAGGCAGGCGGCGCATGTGTGGGTGGGTGCCGGGTCGGTTGGCGGAGGTGCGGGGTGCGGCAGGCGGACCGGGGCGCCAGCAGTGGGGCGGCAGCGACAGCGGCAAAGGCCACACTTGGCCCCCACAGCCCCCCAAGCAATCCATCCATCCATCCATCGCCCACCCGCCCGCACAGACGGCCCTCCTCGTTGAAACCCCGCTCCCGCCGCCGCGGCCGCCCCACCTTTGGCAGCACAAAGGCGCGGCCGGCGGCCAGCGCCAGCGCCATGCCCACGTACGCCTGCTGCAGCTGGGAGTGGATGGTTTCCAGGTAGAAAGAAATCATGTCCTCGTTCTCGTTCCACTCGTTGTACGAGGGCGGCTTCTGCGAAGGGGGGAGGCGGCAAGCAGGCACGGCGTTGCCGGCTGGGTTGCTGGCTGGGCGTGCCGCCTGCCCTGCCGGCGGGCAGCCCCCGCCGGCGGCCGCCAGCGCCACTCCGGCGGCGGTTTGCGGCAGCACGGCGGTGCCATCTCGGCGGTATCGCCATCACGGCAGCATGCGGTACCGCCCGTACCTCTGGCAGCGTCACGTCCACCGTCACGAAGCTGCCCTGGGCGTAGTACTCGGGGGGGTCGTGCCACAGGCCCATGTCGCGCATGCGGGACCGCTTGCCGGGGGTACCGTTGTAGGTCCAGGTGAGGTGCACCACGTAAGGGTCCACCCCCTTCACCTGCAGGGTGTGGGCGGGTGTGGCGTGGGTGGCGTGTACGCTGCAGGTGTGTTGGTGGCTGGGGTGGGCACAGGGGAGGAAGAGCGAGGGCGAGAGAGAGGCGGCACAACACGAGGAGGAGGTTGGGCGAGGGCGCCCCTCAGCGCGTACCAAATCCATCCCTCCACCCCACCCCGCCCCGCCGCACGCCGGCACACCCACCTTGTGCAGCTTCTGCAGGAAGAAAGTGTGGGCGTTCATCGATATGCTGCAGCGTGCAGGGAGGCGGTGGGGCACAGCGGGCCGGCGCCCGGCGTGAGCGAGCGGCGCCGCTAGGGGCGGGCTGCTGCCGAGCGCAAGGCAGGTGGACTGGCCGGCGGGGTGGCTTGCTGGTGGTGGTGGTGGTGGTGGTGGTCGGGCCCGAGGCTCCCAGCTGGGGTGGCACAGCGCACGACGCGGCAGGCAGCGCGGCTGCGCTGGCGACGGCCGCAGCGGCGCGCCGCGTCGGTCTGCAGCAGGCGGCGCCCAGCAGGCGGCACACAGCAGGGCGGTACACAGCAGGCGGCGGCGCGGCGCCCCACCTGGGAGGCAGTATTCCGACGTACACTCTGTTGCGCCAGCCTGCCTTCACACGAGGGTCCTGCGGGTGCGCGGGCCCTGCCTGCGTGCGCATCAGTTCGTACGCGCAGTGCTGGTCGTGCATGCGGCAGGCATCAAAGTGGGCGCGCCAGGCGTGGGCCCACGCCGTGGTGTTGGCGTTGTGGCGCAGCAGGTAGACGCCTGCGGTGGCGGGGGCAGGGGGTCGAGGGAGGGTGGGGTGGTGGGTGGGCGGGCATGCGGGCAGGTGGGCATCCTTGCGGGGAGAGGGCGACGGGCGGGTGCGTGCTGCTGCACCTGACTAGGCAGAGGGCCGATGCGGCTCCCAGAAGCAGGAAGCATGCAGCCTGCGATGCGCCCGCCCATGCACACGCGCGTACCCACATTGCACACACACGCTCACACAGGGCACATGTATGCTCCCTAGTCACATGCATGCTTTCCAATTGCACACAGGCGCGCACCGGTGTTGAAGTCGTGGTAGGCGTCCCCGTTCGTCTCCAGGCCGTCGTCCCCAGGGCTGTTGATCGACTGGGTGCCGTCCTCGCTGAAGATCAGGTCTGGCGGCGGCGGAGCGGGCAGCGCGGCGGGCGCGGGGGGCGCAGTCGCGGGCGCGGTTGGGCGGCACGCAGGCAGTCGCCAGGGCAGCTGCCAAGACGCTCTGCCGCATGCAGCCCTTGCGCCGGCCAAAGCCACATGGTAGGCTGCATGCAGGCGCACCCCCACCCACACACACACAGCACAGCGCCCGCGGCGGCAGGCGGCCCGCCGGCGCCATGCCTGCCGCACGCCGCGTGCCCGCCGCCTGGCTGGCGCCACCTGGCGCCGCCTGGCGCCCACCTGCGTGCGCGTGCTTGGCGAACAGCGGCAGCGGGTCTCTGAACCACACCACATCCACATCTGAGATCACCAGGTTGAACCCCCAGTCGGCCACCGCATCCAGCACAAACACCTTAGCCCAGGTCATGCGCCGCCAGCCCTCCTCCCCCCATTTCAGGCCTGCAGCAGGACGGGCAAGCGTGCATGCGCGGGGGGGGTGCATGCGTATGTGTGCGTGTGTGTGTCGGTGTATTGAGGAGTGGTGGTGTGGCAACAGACGAGCTTGCTGGCGCCGTGCGACCGATGCTGCCCGGCAACCTCAGCTCCGGCGGCAGCAGCGGCAGCACGAGTGGCGGCAACAGCGGAGCAGGCAGCGGCAGCGGAGCCGGCGCCTGGCCGCAGGCCGCACCCAGCTTTGGGATCTCCTCGTCGATCCATTCGAAACAGGCCTGCCCCAGGGCTGCCAGCCGCTGCGAGGTCTGCACATCCGAGGCTGCCACCACAGCATACGTGATGCCCGCCCGCTGCACGTGCTGCATCCAGTTGAGCGCAAAGTCCCACTGCGCAGTGTTGGCCTGCAGCGGCGGCGGCGGGGCGGGGCAGGGCATGTGCAACGTTGTGGGCGGGGAGATGGCGGCGCCATCGGGGTGGGCAAGAGCATGCGGGGCACGCACGCTAAATGGCGGCAGGAGGGGGCTGCACACCGGCGCGCTGGCGAGCAAGGCGGCGGGGGCAGGCAGAACTGGCGGAGTAGCAAACCCACCACGGCCAGCATCGCTGTGTTTTCCTTGGCCTGCTGCTGCAGCAGCTCCCTGGAAAGCTCGGGGCACCTGGCTGCTTCGCCTCCTCCTCCTTCTGCTGCTCCTGCTGCTGTCGCGTCCGCGGCCTGCTGCGTGGCACGCCCGCTGCCTAGTTGTGGCTCCCTGCCTCCGCCGCCGCCGCCGCCACTACCGCCGCCTGCGGACAGAGCTGCGCCTAGCCGCCTGCTGGGCAGTTGCGGCTCCGCTCTGGCGCCGCTGCATATACTGGCTACGCAGGTGAGGGCCAGCAGCGCCCATCGCTGCTGTAGCCGGCCCATGTGTTGTTCGCACACTGGCCAGCTGACGCGCCCAGCTTGGCAAACTAGACTGATGATGCATCATCAGGAAGCTTGCCAGAGGCCAGGAGATGCATCATGACGAGTGTTTGCCCCCGACTTTCCTCCCGCCGCCCCCGCCTCCCGCCACCCGCACCCGCTTGGCTGTGAGAGCCGCATAGGGCTGCAAGGGACAGTATCGTCTGAAAAATGATCGAATGTCTCACGTGGGCCTGCTTGCATGTATGGCTTGAAGGCGGTTCCTTGAACCGCCTTGTGGGATCGCGCTGCAGCTCTCGCCCGCCTCAACCGCCGCTAAGTGAGCTGGTGTTACATGCGGCGGTTCATTACGCGACCCAAGTCGACCCCAACAAACACTGATGCATGACAGAGACACATTCGGGGGGAAATATAATACACGGCACCGCAGGTGGCCCCAGCGGGCAGGTCAATAGTCAACGGGGGAGTGGCGGCTGATGCTCCGCCACTTTGGGGGGAATGGAAATCGGTGCAAGGAGGGGGTGAGGCATGCAAGAGAAGCGAGTGGCACTAGTGGCGCTAGGCTGACTGCAGTGGCAAGTGGGTCGGCAGTGCTTAGTAGGGATGTAGGAATGCTTGAAAAGCCGAATCGGGTGTTGTTCTCTGGAGAGTGTGTGTGTGTGCAGAGGCCCAAAAATCACGCTCGCATGCGCGGCATGCAAGCACAGGCGTGGGGTCTGCATCAACGAAAGAGAATGAAACGAAAATGGGCTCCAGTCGTTAATTAAACAAAAAACAGCGCTGCGATCCGCAGCGGGACAGCATCGGCTCGGCAAGGCATCATTGGTATTGATCGATTCGTCTGTAAGATTTCAGTTTTCCTGCAGCAGCACAGCACAAGCGGCGGAGCACGTGAGCTACTGCCGGCCGGCGCTGCCAGTCACACGCAGCATGCCGGCTGCATGCGGCACCTGCGCACGGCAAGCAGGCAGGCAGGGTGCGGGCGCCAGGCAGGCCGGGCAGCGCCGCGGCACACGCACATTGGCCCTGGCGCCACAGCGCCTGCTCCAGCTGCTCGGAGCGGGTTCGCTGCGCGGCGGCGTCGGCCTGCGCCGCCTCCAGCTGCTCCAGCGCCTGCATCGCCTGCTGCTCCATCTCTTCGAGCTTCACAGCCAGGTCATAGGCAGTGTTCTCAATCTCCGCCTTCTGCTGCTGAGCCTCCTCCACCACAGACTTGAGCTGGGTGGCGTCCTGCGGCAGACAGGCAAGGGGGAGGGAGGGCAGCCACTTTGTCGGCCACGACGAGGCGGCGGCGGCGCCGGGCAGGGCGCAAGGCGTGGCGGGCACGGGCGCGGCTCGCAGGCGGCGCCGCAGCCCGGCCCAGCGCTGCGGGCAGCAGCCCCTTGGCGCATCTGCACGGCGCCTGCACAAGCGCCAGTCCTGCCACTCGCCTTCATGGCAACAGCCCAAGCCTTCTCCAGCACCGCACTGCGGGAGCGGGCGGCGGTGGCAGAGGCCTTGGCCGCCGCAACCTCCGCCTGCGCCTCCTGCAGCTGCGCCGCCAGCACGGCAGACTGGGCGGCGAGCGCCTCGCGCTCCGCCTGCGCCGCCTCGCGCACAGACTTGAGCTGCAGCGGCAGGCAGGGGTGGCGTGCGCGCGCGTGTGTGTGTGAGGGTAGGAGGAGCGGCGAGGTGGGCACTCGCGCGCCGCCGATGCGTCTGCCCAGGCACAGCCGAACACAGGTGCGTGGCTGCCACCGGGGAAGCACAACGGATGGAGGCGCAGCGTCCTGGCCCAGCCCGGCAGCAGCAGCAGCAGCAGCCCCACCACCGCTGCCACCAGCAGCGGCGCCGCACCTCGGCGTCGGTGGTGGCCAGCGCCGCCTGCTGCGCCTCCTGCTCCATCACCTCCTGCTGCCGCTGGTGCAGTGCGGCAACCTCCTGCGGGAGCGGCCAGCGGCGGGGGGTGCGTGTGGGGAGTGTGCGCGGGGTGCGGGGTGGCGGGTTCAGCGGGAGCGCTGATGGCAGGTGGGCGGGAGCGCACAGCCAGGAGGTTTCTGCTGCAGCTGCTCATGGATTGCAGCCACCCCGAGCAGCTGTAACCCCAGCAGCAGCCACTGTTCACCCATACCCCCAGCAGCAGCCATGTTGAGCAGCAGCGGGCGGGGGCATACTGCGCCAGGGGCAGGCCCCCCTCACCTCTGCGGCCCTCTCCAGCTGCTGCAGCACTGCGCCCTTGCGGGCGCTGGCCTCCTGGGCATCCTTCTCAGCCATCTGCAGGCGCACAGCACAACCGGAAGCGGGCAAGGTTACCGGCCGCGGATTTGGAGCGGGTCGGTGCGGGTGTGCGAGGCGGGGCCTGAACCCCAGAGCCCGCACCCGCACCAGCCTCAGCGCGGCATGCAAGACCCGCAGGCAGGAAGGGCGAGCAGGGGGTGGCCTCATCCCCAAGGCCAGGGAGCGCATGCTGGGAGCACAAGGCGGCACATGTGAGCCATGCAGCTCTGCTGCTGACGGGCTCTTGACCGGCCGCACCTGCAGATCCTCCTGGATCTCGGCCAGAAGCTCGTCGGCAGCGTTCTGCAGGCGAGCAGGGCAGCGGGCGCGACAGGCGGCGAGCAGGCTGCGTGAGCCAGCGTTGCAGACCCTGAAGGCCGGCGCATGCAGCCCGCCGGCGCTCGGCCCGGGCGGGGAGCTGGACACAGCCTGAGTGCTGACCCCTCTGCCGCCGCCTATGCCCTCTGCGGCCCCTCTGCCAAGGGCTGTGGCCCCCGGCGGCGGCGGGGGGTGCTCACATGAGAGGTGATCAGCTCCACAGTCAGGTGCTCAATCTGCTTGTCGGCAGCCTCCAGCTCCCGCTCAGCAGCCAGGCGCTTCTCCTGCGGGGAGACGGCGGCGGCGGGGGTGACGCAGTCAAGCAGCGACGCAGTCGAGCCTTGCCGCCACGCCTCCCTCTCTCCCGACGCGCACTGCAACCGCCCCGCCCCGCGCGCACGGCAGCAAGCGCCAAGCAGCAAGCGGCAAGCAGCAAGCAGCCCCTCAGTCCAGGGGCGTTCCGTTGCTGCAGCGAGCAAAAGTTCATGGCCCGCCCACACCTGCTCCTGCTGCTGCTGCTCCAGCGCCTGCACCGCCTGCTGCTCCACCTCCTCCAGCTTCACAGCCAGGTCGTAGGCGGCGCCCTCGGCCTGCTGCGCCGCCGCCTGCGCCGCCTCCAGCTGCTGCCGCAGCGCGCGCGCCTCCTGCTGCGCCGCCGCCAGCTGGGACGACGCGTCGTCGGCGGGGGGCTGCGCCGCCGGGGCCGGCGCCGCCGCCGCCGAGAGCAGCTGCGCCTCCAGGCTCTCCGCAAACCGCCGCAGCTGCTCGCGCTCGCTGTGGGCCGCCGCCAGCTGGGCCTGCAGCTCAGCCAGCTCGCCAGGCGTGCGCTGCGCCTGCTCCTGCTGCTGCAGGGACGCCAGCTGCTGCGCCTGCGCCTGCACAGACCGCAGCTGCGTCTCCAGCTGGGAGGCCTGCAGCTGCAGGGCCTCGCGCTCCGCGGCAGACGCCGCCAGCTGCCCCTTGAGCTGCTCGGCCTGCAGGGGGCAGGGCAGGGGCGCAGCGCGGGGCCAGGGCGGGAGGCACGTCAGCGCCGAGGGCCAGCTGTGCTGGGTGCAGCATGGAGCGGCGGCACGCACACACATCCTCCCCGCGCGCTGCGGCGGTCGGCGAGACGAGGCGCGCTGCGGCCGCCGCGGCACCGCAGCGGCAACAGTGCAACAGCGGCAAGCGCGCCAGCGCGGCGGCCCCGCGGCGGCCGCAGCGCAGCGGCGGCGCACCTCGGCCGCGGCGGCCCGCGCCGCCGCCAGCTCGCCCGCGATGGCCGCCGTCTGGCTCTCCAGCTGCCGGTGCTCCTCAGTCTGCTCAAAGGAGGCGGCCTCAAGGGAGGCCTGCAGCCGCTCCAGCTCCCCCTCCAGCTCAGCAGCCCGCTGCTGCGCATCCTCCAGCTCCGTGGCGAGCGCATATGCGGTGCCCTCCAGCCGGTGGTGCTCCTCCTCGGCAGACCGACGCGCCGACGCCAGCTGCAGCCCCCGGGGGGCGGGTGGCAGGGCGGGGCGCGGCGTCAGCGGCTCGAGGGCGGGGTCGCGGCGGCGGGGAGGGCAGAGGGGGCGGGCGTTCCTTGCTGAGGTGGCAGCATGGCAGCATGGCAATGTAGCACAGGCAGCGGGGGCCCGGAGTGGGGCGAGGCTGCTTGAGTCCCAAGGGCGAGCGCTGGCGGCGGCGGCGGCGGGCGCGGCTGCTCTCCCAAGGGCGAGCGGCGGCGGCGGCGGCGGCGCGGCTGCTGGGCCCTCGCACCTCTTCCTCCAGCTCCTCGGTGCGCTCCTGCAGGCGGCGGCGCTCCTCCGCCAGGTCCTGGGTGCGCCGCTCCAGCTGCGCGCGCTCCTCCGCGGCAGACGCCAGCCGGGCCTCCAGGCCGCCAGCCTGCACGGCGCGCAACACCAAGGCGCGGGGCTCGCCTTGCCGAATCAGCCGGCACGTTTCCTCGAGAAGAAACGGCGCTGGGCAGCAAGGTGGGGCGCCATATCGAGCAGGCGGTTGTTGCAGCCATGCATGTGGCTAGGCTCGCAGGTGGGCAAGGCGGGCGGCGAGCGCGGCGAGCAGGCGTGGCGGCAGCAGGGGCAGGCGCGTGGCGGCAGCAGGGGGCCGCCAGCGCACCTGGTGCGCCGCCGCCCGCGCCTCCTCCAGCTGCGCCGCCACCGCCGCGCTTTCCTCCTGTGCGCTGCGCAGCGCCGCCTGCAGCTCGCGCTGCTGCTGCAGCGCTTCGTCCAGCTGGCGGGAGTCCTCCTGTGGCAGCAGGCGGATGAGGGCGGCGTCAGAAGCAAGCAAGCAAGCAAGCGGGTTGCAGGGCCAACGTGCGGCCTGCCAGGCAGGGCGAGCGCGCGCCGGGCTGCAGGTTGGCGGCAGGAGGGCGCAGCATGCGGCGGGGCGATGTGCAGGCCGCGCCACCCTGCCCCACGCACCTGGGCGGCCTGCCCCCAGCCCTGCTCCACCTCGGCCACGCGCAGCTGCGCGGCAGACAGGGCGGCGTGCGCCTCTGCCGCTTCCTTCTGAGACTCCTCAAGCCGGGCGGCGAGGTCGTACGCTTGGCGCTCCACCTCACGCTGAGCCTGCTGCGCCACCTGGGCGGCCTGCAGCGGATTTGCCGTGGCAGCCGGGGAGAGCGGCAAAGGAACAGAAACGCACTTAGACCCGCTGCCATGTGGTGCACGCCGGCAGAGCATAACGTGGAAAGTCTGGCTTGCGTCTGCCGCCGCCGAGCGCCAACGCCCCGCCCCGCCTCGCCCACCTGGGCCGCCTCGCGGCGCGCCTCCTCCAGCGCCGCCCTCAGCGCTGCCTCGCCGTCGGCAAGGCGCTGGCGCTCGGTGGCGGCGGCGCGCTCCGATGCCTGCAGCGCGGTTTCCAGCTCCGCGGCGCGCAGCTCCAGCCGGTCCCGCTCGTTGATGGCCACACGCAGCTGCGCCTCAAAGTGGGCCGCCTGCACGCGGGCAGCCGCCAGGCACCAGGCACGCACAGTCACTACTTGCTCTCTCTCTCACACACACACACACACGCCGCCGCGGTTCCTCCTTCGGCACAAGCTCCAGTCTGGCGGCTGGCCGGCTGGCTGGCTGGCAGCAGCCACACACACGGCATGGCACAGGCTCCCTGTGGCACAAGCTCCCCGGCCCTCACAAGGGGCCTAAGGGCAGCCACCAAGGGCAGCCACCACACGCGCCCCACCTCTGCGGCCGAGGAGCGCGCCTCCTCCAGGCGCGCCGCCAGGTTGGCCACCTCGTCCGCAATGTCCTGCTGGGCGGCCGACCGTACCGCCGCCAGCTCCGACTCCAGCTCCGCCGCCCGCTGCTCCAGCAGGCGCTGCCGTTCGTTGGTGGCCGCCGCCAGCTGCTGCTCCACGTCGGCGGCCTGGCGGGGAGGGAGGCAGGGTGGGAGGCAGGGAGGAGAGCATGGTATGGCAGATCGGGGCCAGGGCTTCGGGCCAGGCACGGGAGCACGGCGAGTCGCGGTACTTGCGGTACGACGGCTTGGGTGGCACACCAAACCGAAAGAAGAAGCATCTGGCAAGATGAAAGAAGCTTCCTTCCCGCCCAACAGACCAGGCGGCCCACCAGACCCACCTGCTCCGCCACGGTCTGGGCATGTTTCAGCTGAGAGGTGAGGTCGGCAATCTGGCCCGACGCCTCCTGCTGCGCCTCCCACCGAGCCGCCTGCACCTCGCGCTCCAGCTCGGCGGCGCGCTGCGGAGGGGGTGTGGCAGCCGAGGTGCAAGTGTTAGTGGGCCGCTGGGCGTGGGTGGGAGAGGGGGCTGGGCTGGGCAAGCAGGGGCACTCGAAATGAGGGCAACATGAAGCAAAAACAGGCTGTTCGCTGAGGGCTGTTGGCAGGGCGCGCGACCGTCTCCCGCCGCACCTGCGCCGCCACGGCGCGAGCCTCCTCCAGCTGCGCAGTCAGGTCTGCCAGCTGGCGGCCCGCCTCCTGCTGCGCGGAGGAGCGCGCCTCCAGCAGCTCTCGCTCCAGCTCGGCGGCGCGCTGGTGCAGGCGGTGCGACTCCCGCGCGGTGCCCGACAGCTGCGCCTGCAGCTGGGCTGCCTGCAGGGGGAGCACGGGGGCAAGGGCCGGAGGTGGTTAGGTTAGGAAGGAAGCCACACCACAGGCGCCAGGGCCAGCAATAGCAAGGGCCTGTCCGAGCAGCTGCCAGCGCAGCGTCGTGACACACACACAAATCAGCGGCTGGCTGGCTCGCCTGCGCCGCCGCGGAGCGAGCCTCCTCCAGCTGGGACGCCAGGTCAGCCACCTGCCCCATCAGCTCCCGCTCGGCCGCCGCCTGCGCAGACTCGACGCGGGACTCGAGGTCGTGAGCCCGCTGCTCGGCCAGACGCCTCTCCTCGGCGACCACCACCAGCTGCGCCTCCAGGTGGGGCACCTGCGCAGCAAGCGGCGGCGGGTCGCATGGCGTAAGGCGCTGCCACAGCACACACGCGCTGCCACCGCTGCCATTCTTTCCCTGCCCTGCCCAGCTCCGCATCCATGCACAGGTATATGCTGTGAAACCATGCGCCACAGGAAAGCGCAGCTACAGCAGGCAACCCGCCTCCGTGTGTGACAGCTTGGGGCAGCAGCAAACGGGGCAGCAGGGGGGCCGCCAGCCTGCCAGCGCACCTGAGCGGCCACGCGCCGCGCCTCCTCCAGCTGCGCCACAATGGCAGAGGACTGGTTGACCAGCTGCTGGTGCTCCTCCCGGGCCGTCCACTCCACAGACTGAACCTGTGCCTCCAGCTCAGATGCGCGCTGCTGCCACTGCAGCAGGTGGCAGGACAGGGCCCCACGTGAGCAGCGGGCGGGCGGGTCGAAGAGGAGCCAAAGAGCCAAAGAGCCCCGGTGGGGTGACCAGCACACAGGCAGGTTTGGGAAAGCAGCACAAGGGCACATGCTGCTCCGGTGAGCAGGGCAGCAAGCAGGGCAGTGGCTGCGCTGAATGCCAATGGCACACCTGGCGGCTGGTCTCGACAGCCGTCGCCAGCTGCTGCTCCAGATGCTCCGCCTGCACAGCAAAACACCGCGCGGTGGAGACGTGAGGCGAGGACTCGATGCAACGGGCCAACGTGCAGGCTAGCTGCCCTGGGCTTGCAGCAAGTGCCTGGCGCCGGCCCTCGGCAGGCCCCAGAGGCTTCAGACGCAGCTTTACAGGGCGCCAGCAGGGCACCAGCAGGCGCCAGCAGCCCCCCAAGCCGCGCGAGAGCCGCACCTTGACTACCGCCGCCTGCGCCAGCTCCAGCTCCGCGGCCAGCGCCGAGATGCGGATCTCCTGCTGCTCCCGGTCCTGCCTAGAGGTGAAGCGCAGCTGCTCCAGCTGGGACTCGAGTGCCTCGGCCCGCTGGCGGAAGACCACGCGGTCGGCCACCACCGCAGACAGCTCCGCATCTCTGTTCTCGGCCTGCAGGCCAAGCGGCAGGGGCCAGGGGCCAGGGAGCAGGGGCCGGGACGCAAGGGTCAGAGGGCAGGGGCAGCAAAGGGGTGCACGAGAGCAGGGTGCGGGGCGACACAACCCACGCAAGCTGGCATGGGGAGCAACTAGGGCAGAGGTTGGGCCGGCATCAGTCAATACACAAGGCCGCCGAGGGCTGCTGAGGGGTGGCGCGGTAGCACAGCACACGCACCTTGCCGGCGGCGGTCCGCGAGTGCGCCAGGTCGGCTGCCAGCTGCTGCTTCTCACGCTGCGCCTGCTGCTCCGCCTGGCGCAGCGCCGCCAGCTGGGACTCCATCTCGGCGGCCCGCTGGCCGTGCGCCGCACGCGCCTGCTCCAGCTCGGCAGCCAGGCGGGAGGCCTGGTCTGCAGCCTGCTGCCGCTCGTGCTGCGCGGCCAGCTCCGACTGGCGCAGGGAGTGCAGCTGGCCCTCCAGGTCGGCAATCTGCTGGCCAGCGGAATCGCGGGCCTGCTCCAACTCCGCAGACAGGCGGCCCGCGTAGTCTGCGGCCTGCTGCCGCTCGTGCTGCGCGGCCTGCTCCGACTGGCGCAGCAAGTGCAGCTGCGACTCCAGATCCGCCATGCGCTGGCCGGCATCTGAGCGAGCCTGCTCCAGCTCGGCAGCCAGGCGGGCCGCCTGGTCTGCCAGCTGCTGCCGCTCGTGCTGGGCCTGCTGCTCCGAGTGCTGCAGGGAGGCCAGCTGCGCCTCGAGCTCTGCCGTGCGATGGGCGGCCTCGGAGCGCGCCAGGTTGAGCTCTGACGACAGGCGGGCAGCCTGGTCCGCCATCTGCTGCTTCTCCTGCAGCGCATGCTGCTCCAGGCGCCGCAGCGAGGCCAGCTGCTCCTCCAGATCAGCCTGGTGAGCACCGCTGGAGCGCGCCTGGTCCAGCTGCCATTCCAGGTCGGCGGCCCGCTGGGCAGCTGCAGCCTGAGCCTGCTGCAGCTCGGCGGCCAGCCGGGAGGCTTCGTCGGCCTGCTGCTGGCGCTCCTGCTGAGCGTGCCGCTCCGACTGGCGCAGCGCCGCCAGCTGGGCCTGCAGGTCGGCGCCCTGAGCCGCACTGGCGCGAAGCTGCTCCAGCTCGGCAGCCAGGCGGGAGGCCTCGTCGGCCAGCCGCTGCCGCTCCTGCTGCGCCTGCTGCTCCGACTGCCGCACACCCTCCAGCTCCCTCTCCAGCTCGGAGGCGCGCTGGCCGCCGGACCCACGCGCCTGCTCCAGCTCAGCAGCCAGCTGGGATGCCTGGTCCGCATACTGCTGCCGCTCCTGCTGCAGCTGCTGCTCCGATTGCCACATCGATGCCAGGTGGGACTCCAGCTCAGACACGCGTCCCTCCAGCTCCTGCCGATGCTGCTCCGCCGCCTGCCGCGCAGCCTCCAGCTCCCTCTCCAGGTCGGAGGCGCGCTGGGAGGCAGCGGCGCGGGCCTGCTCCAGCTCGGCAGCCAGCGAGGAGGCGCGGCCATCCAGCTGCTGCTGCTCCTGCAGCCACGCGGCACGCATGGTCTCCAGCTCCCGCTCCAGCTCCGCCGCACGCTGCTTCTGCTCCTCGCTGGTCGCCGCCAGCTGGGACTGAGCCTTGGCGGCCTGCAGCAGGCAGGCGGGGGGCACACAGCATCAGCAGGGCTGGCAGGCTTTGCCTCTGGTCAGCATACCTGCACGCTGGTGGAAGCGCATGCCTGCCCTGCCAGGCGCCTGGCATGCAGAGCCCGGGAGGCTACACCACTGACCTTGGCCTCCATCTCAGCGGCGCGTTGCTGCCACTGCAGCATGGGGCAGGAGAGGACCATGTGTGAGCGGGTGAGGCGGGTTGCGGCAGCATGGCAAGATGGACCGTCCCGCAAGCGAGGCCAGCATAGCAGCGAGATGGCAGCAGACCTTCTCGCGCTCTTCGTTGGCCTCTGAAATCTGAAGCTCCAAGGCGGCAGTCTGCAGGCAAGGGCAGCAAGGAAGGAAAGACAAGGTGGTCAGGGAGCCTCGTGTGTGTAAAGGCCATGAGAGCAATCCCCAGTTTTGCCGACGGGCGTACAGCGGAGGGCATAGGAAGCACGCTGGAGATAGAGCACGGCAGCGGGCGAGGCGGCGGCGCACCCTGCCCATGGCAGCCCACGCCTCCTCCAGCTGCGACGTCAGCCCGGCGGCCTCCTCCTGCACCCTGTTCAGCTGGAACTGCAGATCCTTCTTGCCCTCCAGGGCACTCTGCAGCTGCTTGGCCTCCTGCAGCGCGCAGGCCGGAGCGGGCGCGGGGCAGGCAGCCGACAGGGGTGCAGTGAGCCAGGGCACATGTGCGTGGGACCTGCCAGCAGTGTGCAGCGAGAGGATGCGCGAGCCGGCCAAGCCATGAGCCACCCACACACAACCGCCAGCCTGCTCACCTTCACAGCAGAGGCCCATGCCTTCTCCAGCAGCGAGCTGCGAGTGCGCACGCTGGCAGCCTGCGACTGCGCCGCCGCCACCCCCTTGTGGGCGGCTTGCAGCTGCGCCGCGAGGGCCGAGGCCTGGCCGGCCAGCTGCTGCTGCTGCTCCTGAGCCTGTTCCCGGGCAGCCTCGACCTCCTGCTGCAGCTCAGCGGAGCGCTGCAGGCAGGGGACGATGCAGGTCGAGGGAGCGAGAGTGAGGAAGGGAGGGAGGGAGAGCAGTGCGCCGTGAAAACACCCAGCACACCCAGGGCTGCACGTAGCGACAGATAGGAGGTGCCAGGCGCGCTCACCCGTGCAGCGGCCTCGCGCGTCTCCTCAAGCTGGGACAGCAGAGACGCCAGCTCGCCAGCCAGCCGCGCCTGCTCCTGCTCTGCCGCCGACCGAGTGGAGCCCAGGGACAACTCCAGGCTCTCGGCGCGCTGCTCCAGAATGCGGCGCTCCTCTGCAGCCGAGGCCAGCTGGCCCTCCAGATGGGGGACCTGCAGGGCAGTGGCATGTGGGGGCAGCACAGGCAGTCAGATGCGATAAGCAACAGGCGGTGAGACGCCAGGTGGCAGCAGCAGAGGTCAGGAACAGAACATGCGTGCCTGCCGGGCGCCAGCAAAGGCAGGAAGCGAGCCGGCAGCGGCAGGAGGAGCGCACCTGTGCAGCGACAGACAGGGCCTGCTGCAGCTCGGCAGCCAGGCGGGAGGCCTCGTCGGCCAGCCGCTGCCGCTCCTGCTGCGCCTGCTGCTCCGACCAGCGAACAGACTCAATCTCCCTTTCCAGCTCAGCGGCACGCTGGTCAGCGGCAGCACGAGCCTGCTCCAGCTCAGCAGCCAGGCCAGAGGCCTGGTCTGCAAGGTGCTGCTTCTCCTGCTGCACCTGCTGCTCTGCCTGGTGCAGAGACGCTAGCTGCGCCTCCAGGTCGGCGGAGCGCTGGTCAGCAGCAGCACGGGCCTGCTCCAGCTCGGCAGCCAGGTGCGCAGCCTGGTCTGCATACTGCTGCCGCTGCTGCTGCGCGTCCTGCTCCGACTGCCGCACAAAGTGCAGCTGCCCCTCCAGGTCTGTAGCCCGCTGAGCAGCAGCAGTGCGAGCCAGCTCCAGCTCCGATGCAAGGCGGGTGGCCTCGTCGGCCAGCTGCTGCCGCTCCTGCTGAGCCTGCTGCTCTGCCCAGCGAACCGACTCCATCTCCCTTTCCAGCTCAGCGGCGCGCCCCGCCAGGCTATCTCGCTCGCCAATGATGCCACGCAGCTGCTCCTCCAGCCGACCGGCCTGCACAGCAAGCACGTGCACGCCGGGATGAGGTGCAGGGCCCACAATGCAAGCAGGCAAAGTGTTGGGCAGCCAACCGGGCGGCGGCAGGACGGAAACTGACATGTGCTGCACGCCCGACTCCCCACCCTTGGCCATAGACTGCCATAACTGCAGGGGCCGCAGGGCTGCCCACCTTGGCGGCATCATTGCGAGCCTCCTCCAGCTGCGCAGCCAGGGTGGCCGCATGCTCTGCCTGGAGCTGCTGGTTCTCGGTCGCCGCTGAGCGCAGGGCCGCCAGCTGAGCCTCCGTCTCGGCGACTTGCTGCAGACAGAGGGCAGCAGGCGGCACCGCCAGCGAGGCATTTACTGGAGCGGCCGCTGTGCGGGCTGAGAGCTCCTCCACACCACCCCTTCTGGCGCGCTGACGCAGTGTGGGCCGGCATTGCTCTGTGCTGCTTGAGCGAGCCAACAAACCCACCTGGACCAGCATAGTGCGCTCCTCGGCAGCAGCCACCAGCCGAGCCTCCAATTGAATGGACTGCACCCCACAGGCACCAGCGGCACCAGTAATGAGCCAGCGCTACAGACAAGCAAGCACCAGACCACAGGTAGCGGCCGCCCGCCCAGAACAGCGTGTGCAGGGCAAGCAAAGGCGAGGCGCACCTGGGACACCGCGGTGCAGGCCTCCTCAATCTGAGCCCTCATGGCGGCAGCCTGCACCTCAATCTCCTGGGCCGCCTCCTGCGCTGCCTCCTGCGCCGCCCGCACCTCCTGCTCCAGCTCCGCGGCCCGCTGCTGCACCAGCTGCCGGTCGGCCACCTCGGCGGCGAGCTGCTCCTCCAGCGCAGCGGCCTGCGTGGCATCGGCCAGGCAACCCAATATCACAGCGGTGAGCCAGGGAAACGAGCGGTGTGTGTGACTGATACTCCCTGCCACCTTTGCGTGCATGATCGATGCATGTGCCGGCAAGGGAAGGGCAGGGCGGGTGGCCCACCTTGAGGGCAGAGGCCTTGGCCTCCTGCAGCTCCGTCACCATGGCGCTGGCCTGGTCCGCCAGCTGGCGCCGCTCCGCCAGCCGCGACTGCATCTGCGACTGCAGCTGGTCTTCCACCTCATCGATGCGAGCCTGCAGCCGCTCCTGCTCCTCCTTGGCCTCCATCACCCGCTTCTCCTGCAGGGCAGCAGCCTGCAGGCGGGACGGGGCGGCAGGGGACAAACAGCGAGCCGAGCCGGGTCGGCACGAGGCGGCAGCACAGGGCGAACATGCTGCTGCTTCCACGCCCTGCCATGCCAAGCAGGCCGCTGTGCCTGGCAGTGAAGGGCCAGCCCAGGCTTTGGTGCGAGGCGCAGGGCATGCAGCGCACCTCTGCAGCGGCAGCCTTGGCCGCCTTGAGCTGCTCTGCCATCTCCGAAGTCCGCACCGCCAAGCCTGCACGAGGCGCGCAGTTGGTTGCAGCCTCTCAGTGCCTGCGCTCTCCCAGCTGTTGGCGTGTGCAGCCCGAGCACGCCGGCGCAGCTGGATTGTGCAAGAGGGGCAGCTCACTTTGCTTCTCTTTTGCCGACGTAAACTTGAGCGACTCGATCTGGGCCTCCAAGTCGGATGCCTTGCGCTGCAGCCCCAGCCGCTCCTCCACCGCAGTTGCCAGCTCAGCCTCCATGTGGGCGGCCTGCGCAGGCGGGTTGGTTGGGCAGCACCCGGCACCTCCACGTCAACAACGCCCACGCTGCCAGAAGAGCCAGCAAGGACAAGGCCAAGGCCGGGAGGATGCCATACGCACAAATGGCACAAACGCACAAAAGGCGCGGCCCCTGCAGCGCGCAACCCACCCTGGCGGCTGCCGCGCGCGCATCCTGCACGTCTCCCGACAGGATGGCAGACTGCCCCGCCAGCAGCTGCTTCTGGTCCTCCAGCAGCAGCTGCGCGGCCTCCAGCTCCGCCTCCAGCTTCTGGATCTGCAGCTGCGCTGCCTCACGCTCCTCGGTGGCAGTCACCAGCTGCATCGCCAGCTCAGCAGCCTGCGGGCACGCGGCAGGCCCACTCTTAGTGTGAGGAGCAGGCCCACGTTTAGTGTGAGGAGCAGAGGCATGGGCTGTTGGGACAACACTGTGCCTGGAGGGTGCCATGCTCGGCAATCCGCTGGTGCTGCACCCCAGCGCAGCGCACCTCGGCCTCGGCACCCATCAGGCTCTCCTGCTGCCGCTCCAGCTGCTCCAGGGCGGCCTGCGACGCCAGGGCGGCCTCCAGCTGAGCCACCAGCTTGGCGCGCTCCGCTGCCGCCTCCTCCAGCTGGGCGGTGGCAGCTGCCGCCAGCTCAGATGCCTGCAAGGGCGTGCGCGGCACGGCGGGGCCAGTGTTAGCCAGCCGCCGGCGAGAGGCACACGGCAAGTGCGGCACATTGAGCAGCCGCGCGGATCGCGCAGGCGGGGCGGGCAGGCAGGCGGCGCGAGGCGGGCGGCGCCTCCAAACGAACGACGGGCACTGCGCCGCACCTCGGCGGTGGCCTGCCGGGCCTCCTCCAGCTGCGCCTTCAGCTCCTGCTGCTCCTTGCCCGACTGGGCCGCCGCCAGCCGCGCCTCCAGCTTCACACGCTCCGACGTGGCGGCCGCCACCTGGGACTGGAGAGCCATGGCCCGCTGGTCTGCGGCGTCCCGCTCCTTCTCCGCCGCCGCCAGCTGCGCCTTCCAGTCGTCGGCCTGCCGTGCGGGCATGGGACAGCGCACGGCGGTGGACAGATGTCAGACCCAGCCCCTGAGGTGCTGCGCTGCCCCCAGGGGCCAAGGCAGAGCGGCCGGCGTGCCAGCAGGCCCAAGCGGGCACGGGCTGAGCCCACCTTGGCGGCGGCAGCCCTGGCCTCCTGCACGGCAGCCCGGGCCTCCTCCAGCTCGGCAGCCAGGGCCGCGGCCTGGGCCTGCACCGGCTGCTGCGAGGCGATGCGGGCCTCTGCCTCCTTCAATGCAGCCTCCATGTCAGCAGCCTGCGGCAGGCAGCACCACCACAGGGTCACACTCCAAGCCCTGGTCAACGCACGGCTGCTGGGAATGGTAGCCAAGCCAGAGCAGCATGATCAACACAGCAATGACAACCAGCGGCAGCGTATGGCCGCGGCGGCAGCGCGGCGCGGGGCGCGGCGCACCCTGGCAGCCGCCGCCTTGGCTTTGACCAGGTCTGCTGCCAGCGAGGCCGCCTTGTCCGCCAGCTTCGCCTGGTCTGCCCGCGCCTGCTGCTGCACCGCCTCCAGCTGGGACTCCAGCTCCATGGCACGCAGCGTGAGGCGCTCGCGCTCCTCGGCGGCGGCCGTCAGCTGGTGGGCCAGGTCAGCGGCCTGCACGGGAGGCAGCCGCGCGGCAACACACACACACACGGTGAGCGTGGCGAGGGAGGCGGGTGGGCAGGTGCGGGATCGCGCGGGCGGCCCGCCTGCCGCGGCAGCGCAGGGCGCACGCGTGCGGCGCTGCGCACCTCGTGGGCTGCCGCCCAAGCAAACTCCAGCTGGGTGAGCAGCTCCGCCACCTGCGCCTTCTCCTGCAGGCGGCGGCGGCAGCGGGGAGAGCAGGGAGTCACGGGGTGAGGGCAGGCAGCTGCTTGTTTCACAGGGAGATGGCAGCCGCGCAGGTGCGCACAGCAGTGGCCACGCAAGCTTGGCGCCCACCTTTTCGGCGGCAGCCTTTGCCTGCTCCAGCTCGGCCACTAGCGCGGACGCCTGGCTGTCGGCCTGCTGCGACGCCTGCAGCCTCTCCAGGTCTTTCTCCAGGCTGGCGGCGCGCTGCTGCAGGCGCTCCCGCTCGGCGGCGGCCGTCGCCAGCTGTGCCTCAAAGTGGGCGACCTGCGCCAGGCAGGCAGGCAGGCGAGCAGCCAGGCAGGCAGGTGTGTGAACCAGTAGGGCAGCACTGCGGAGCGTGCCACAAACCACAAGCGTGAATCAAGATCCCGCAAGAAGCACACTGAAGCCCTGGCGGCCCGTGCGAAGCCGCTCTGCCCGCCCGTGCGCGACCCAGGCAGCAAGGCAGGCCCCGCGCGGTGCACGGCAGCGGCGGCGGCGCCGCACCTCTGCGGCGGCAGACCGCGCCTCCTCCAGCTCCGCTGACAGCACCAGCGCCTCGCCGGTCAGCTGCTGCAGCTGCTGCATGGAGGCCAGCTGCTGCGCCGCCAGCTGCGCCTCCAGCTCGGCGATGCGCCCCTGCGCGAGTCGGAGAGGTGCAGGCGGTGATCGCGCTCGATCAACCAATCAACCAACCAACCAATCAATCAATGTCCACCAGAATTAATCTGCATCACGAGCAGATGGGCACCAGCCCTCCCCTGGCGCACACACACGGCAGGACACCCCCCAGGGCACCCCCACCCGCACCCCAGCTGCACCTGCGGGTCCTCCACTGGCACCGCATCCAGGTGCTCTGCCATGTGCTCATACTCCGCAGCCGCCTTGGTCTGCGCGGCCGTCAGCTGCAGGGGCGCACAACCGGGCGGCGGAACCGAACGCACCCATCGTCAGGCCCACTGGCTGGCACACCTCGGGTGGCGGACACCACGTGCAGGCGCCAGGCGGCACCCGCACGCACGCTGCCGGGGCCGCGTGGCCCAGCAGGGCGGTGGCAGGCCGCCAGGTGCCCGGCCAGAAGGCGCCCCGCCGGCACAGCACCCAAGCCCACCTTGCTCTCCGCAGCCGCCACCTGCCCCTCCACGCTGCTCAGCTCCTGGCTGGCCTTGAGCAACTCGTCCTGCAGCCGCGCGGCGGCGGCCTCCTGAGCCACGCGTACCGCCTCCTGCTGCCCCTCCTTGGCCTCGGCGCGGCGCCGCGCCTCCTCGGCGGCGCGCTCCGCCTCCACAAGCTGCAGCGGCAGCATGGCGGCGCCAAGTCAGCGCCAGGTCAGCGCCCAGCGATGCACGCCCGGCGGCAGGGACGGCGGCGCGCCCGGCGGCGTCGGCGGCGCGGAGGCGCGCCTCCCCGGCAGCAGAAGGCATGCTCCCACCTTGGCCTTGAGCTCCTCCCGCTCCACACGGGCGGCCTGCAGCTCCAGGTCTGCTGACTCAGCAGCCTCCAGGGCCTGCACAGAGAGAGAGGGGGAAGAGAGGCAGAGAGAGGAGGGGGTGAACAAGAGGGTTGGGGCGCACCCCACCCAGCAGACATGCACGCACGAGAGGGCTGCCCGAAACAGCGGCGCGAGCGGCACCCAGCCACACGCATGGCAGCCGCCCACCTTTCTCAGCTGTTGCTTCTGGGCCTCTAGCTCCTCCGCCTGCTGCAGCGCCGCGGCGGCCTCCTCCTGCGCCTTGGAGGCCAGCCCCTGCGCCTGGCTGAGCTCCCGCCGCAGGTCAGCCACAGCGGCCTCGGCAGACTCCTTGGCGGCGGCCAGCTGCGCGGCCGCCGCCTCCTGCTCCGCCAGCTGCTGCCGCACCTCCAGCGCCTCCTGCGGCGAGCCAGCACGCGAAGCCACGCGGCGTGAGGACGGCGCATGCCCAAGAGCAAGTGGGGCTAGAATGCACACTGCGCGTGCGACACATACACAAGCATGCCACGCGAATGCGTTCACAGGCCATCCATCCCCGCAGCAGAGGCGGGCGCCGCGGGCCGGGGCTTGCCTGCGCCTTGGAGCTCATCTGCTGCTGCAGCTCGCCCTGCTTGGCCTGCAGGGCCTCCACCTCCGACCGCAGCAGCTCCAGGCGGCGCTGCTGCGCCAGCAGCTGCGCGGCCGCCTTCTTGGCCTTCTTGGCCGTCACCTCATCGATGCCGTCTAGCGCGCTGGCTATGACCTTGGCGGCGGCCTCCTTCTTCAGCTTCACGTGGGTGCTGCCGATGCTGGCCGCCGGCTTCGGGGCCGCGGCGCTGGTGGCGGGGGCCTCCGGCGCAGAGCCGGCTGTGGCCGTGCGGCTCGGCGGCTGCAGGGAGGAGGCAGAGCAAGCACACATGGAAAGCGTGTCATTTCCAGCGGCATTGTTGCCCGCGTGAGAACAAACAATGCACTAGCCCCGCCAAAACCATCCCTCGTGCGTCTGTCTACCCACCGACTTGCTCCTGCTGCGGGCGGCCGAAGCCGATACTGGAATTGTTTGCCGTGCGAGGAGCCTGCTGCTGCGCGGCCTGCTGTATGCCGGCAGCGGCCATGCCGGCAGCGGCCTACAGCCGGCTGGTCGCTGCAGTGACAGCGCAGCCGTCGTAACGCGCATCGTCGGTAGCGGAGCGCGGCGGCGGCCTTCCGGTGCTGCGGGCCTCTGGAGCCTCGCTCTGCTGGCTGACGAAGTGCAGATGGACTCGTGGGACCGCTAGCAGGGGTGTGCTGCGCGCAGCCGTTAGTTGTGTGTATTAATCGGCTCTCGGCAAAACACCCACGCACGCCATGGGCTGCAAGACCGACGGCTGCAGGCCCGATGCTGCAGAATCGCACTGCGAAGTTCCTTTGTGATTTTTTGAGGGCCTGAAACCTGAGCGCCTGTAAGCCGCACAACGGGGGTGGAAGGTAGGCGACGCCATGGCCTGCTTCCTGCCCCATCGGCGGGCGGTGCACGCACATTACGACCCCTGGCATGTAGGGAGCAGGAAATGACCGCGGAGAGGGTGCTCCAGACAGCGCCGCCCATATCCCCCGCCGCTGCTGGTCGGTGGCAAGTGCCCATGCACGCGCCTTGAGGCTGCAGCATGAAGCAGTGCAACTTCCATTGTGAGGGTAGTGACACTGCTTGGCAAGGATGGCCATGCTGGCAGGCTTAGCGTTGACAGACCCAAAGTGCGGCAGCAGCGCGGCACCACACACAGTGGACCGGCACTGGCAGATCACGTCACTCTCGCAGGCAATGCATTAGTTCCAAACATCACTGCAAAATATACGACAGTAGGTAGACTGAAACGCCAGCTGCACGGCTGAGCTTTCCTTGGCCGCCGTCCTCTGGCGCCTTCACCGTCTGTTGCACTCAACTTTTCCCAAGTTGGCACATGCCTCCTGATGCGAATGCTTCTGCTCATCCAAAATGGAAGCAGGGGACACAAGTCTGGATGCATTCCATGTACAAATGTGATTCAATGACGCCGGGTCAATCCATGAAACATGGACGCCCCCCACCGCCACCTGGCGGCTGGAGGACGCGTGCTGTGGGTGGCCTTCGCATGAAAGCTGGGAGAGCATTCATGTGATCTCTAGCCCCATCCATACCGATACACAGGCCTGTCGAACAATGGGGAACTGCTTGTCGGCGGCGGGGCCACAGTCCGAGGGGCTCCTGGCGCTCGCTGGCAACCTGAGTGTGAGCCCAGCTGCATGCATGGGCCGTTGCACGAGGGCGGGGCCGCTGCAGGGGCGCTGGGGGCAAGTGACGGGTGTCAGGATGGGGCAGGGGTCGCCAACCCGCGCTGCCGGAGCCTCCCACACGTCTGAAAGCCTCTGCATCTGCGCCTGAGGATGCTGGGAGCCTCTGGGGACCAGCATGGTACAGCGGGGCCGCCGTCACGTGCTCGAGCTCTTGGGGCACCTCCCTCAGGCCTCCTCAGCTTCTATTTCAGCGCCGTGGTGGGCCAGCCGCTCTCGTAGCGCGTGCCGAAGGCCGCGGAGGCTGCGCCGCGCCGACCCTAACACTGCCACAGGGGGCGGGAGCGGGTCGGAAGCGCACCAACGAGGTGCACACCGCCGCACGCTCCAGCCCGACGCCTGGAGCATTGTCCGCCCTCCATGCCCTGCAGGCCCCTCCCTGCTGCCCTGTGTGCGGCCAGAAGGCGAGCGCGCCGATCCCGCAGCTGTGCGGCGACGACCGCGACGCGTGGGTGCAGGTCAGCAGCGGCGGCAGCGGCGGCGGCAAGACGTGGTGCCACCGCAGCTGCCAGGTGAAGCGGCAGATGGAGGCGGCCTCCTACCGCAAGGAGCGGGCCAGCTACGCGCGCGCTAAGCAGGCCGTGTATCCGCTGCCGGGCAGATCGCAGCGGATGCTGGTGGGCAATGCGGCCAAGCGCTCAGGTGAGGCAGCGGTTGCGCCCAATGGTAGCAAGTCCTGCAGCCCCGATGTGTCGTCGCGGGCCCTGGCGGCGCAGGCTCGTCCTGCCTGTCGCCCAGCAGCCTGCGCTGCGCCATCGCGGCAGCAGCCCGCCGCCGCCGCGGGGCCACAGCGCGCAGCTGGAAAGCGGTGCTGCGAGGCCGCTGACGCCCGCACGCGCCCACGCCGCCCTGCCTCGCCTGCCTGCAGCACGCTTTGGCCTGTCCTGCCGCCCCCTGGACCCTCTGGTGGAGCTGCCCAGCGGCGAGCAGAGCTTCGCGCCCGGCGGCTCGGCATTCGGCGTGGTGCCAGCGCCTGAGCAGGACCGCAGCGGCGCAGCCGGCCGGCTCGCCGAGCAGCTCAGCCGGCAGAGCAGCTGGCAGGAGGAGGAGACGCCGCGCAGTCCCATCAGCAGCGCAGCCTCTGGCGGCAGCGGCAGCAGCGGCAGCAGCGGCGCCACCTCCCTCTCCCTGGGCAGCAGCATCGCCAGCGGCCCCGGCTCCGTGTCCGGGACAGACGCCGCCAGCCTGAAGCGCATCAGCGAGAGCAGCAGCGGCGAGAGCGGCGACGGCGGCGACGCGTCGGGCAGGCTGCCCGGGGGCCGCGCCCGGGGCCGGGGCGACGCCGGCGGCCGGCAGGTGCTGCACCGGCCCAGCCCCATGCCGCTGCCTGCCGTGCTGGAGGCCAAGGCCCAGCGCAAGCAGTCGCGCATGAAGTTTGACTCTCGGGCGATGGAGGCAGACTCGGATGGCGAGGGCGGCCAGGACTGGTACCAGCAGCAGCTGCGGGAGCAGCTGCAGCGGGACCAGGAGAGGGAGGAGGAGGACAAGGCGCGGCCCAGGCCGCCCGGCAAGCGCTCCTTCTCGTTCAGGGACGCCATCAAGGCCGCATCCTCCGACACCTTTGCCGAAAAGAACAACATGCGGGCGTAGGTGCTGCGGCCCGCCTGAGTCGCCCACCCTGAGGCCTCGACGCGGGCTGACTTGTTGCCCGGCCGCCCCGCCGAGGCTCATGTGCGTCGCGTGCCGGCCTCCTCCGGCCAGTCGCTCCAGCCTGCTGCTGACCATTTCCCTGTTTGCACTGTTTATTTTTCCACACCGCCCGTGTGTGGGTGAACTGTTGTTGTTTTTTCGCGCCCCGTGGGTGAAGACCAGCCTTGCAGCAGCTGCTGCCACCCGCCCCCTCCGCACAACTAATGACGACAAACAAAGAATGCCCTCAGCCACTTATTCATCAAGGGCAGTTGATTGGCAGGTGCCTGCGACACGATAGGGAATCCCTGTAGCTCTGCCATTCGCATGCCACACTGACAAGCCTAGCCACAGCCTGCACCTCTCCCGCTTGTCGCTTGTACCGCCACCGACGGCTGTGCTTGCTTCCATTCCCGCTGTTCTCACCCCTTCTGTTTTTACCTGTTCGTTGCGTGGTCTTAAACTTTAACATAATATGCTCCACTGGGAAACTGGGAAGCCAGACACCAGCGGTGGCAGGGCCCAGCTGAGCTGCTGTCTGGCCCCAGCCTCACGCAAAGGGCGGCCCCCGCAGCGCCGCGATCGCCTGCTCCAGATCCGGCGGCAGCGCCGAATCGAACTCCAGCTGCTCCCCGGTGGCGGGGTGCGCAAAGCCCAGGGTCTTGGCGTGCAGCGCGGGCCGCGCCAGCGCCTTGACGGCCGCCAGCGCCGCCGCCGCCCGCGGCGGCTTGCCCGCTCCCACGATGCTGCCCGCCGCCGCAGCGGAGCTGTAGGTGTCGTCAGCCAGCAGCGGGTGGCCGATGTGCTTGGCGTGCACGCGGATCTGCTTGCAGGAAGAAGAGGGGGTGAGGGAGGGCAAGGCGGAGATGGGGTGGAGGCGGCGAGCTGCTACATGCTCACGGCCATGCCGCCATGGCCTCGCTTCCATCCGCCAGGCGCACATGCACCCACGGATGCCCACGCCACCCAACCCACCCATCCAACCCTACCTGGTGCGTGCGCCCCGTCTCAAGGCGCCACTGCACCAGCGCCGCGCCACCGCCCGCCAGCACCTCGAGCAGGCGGTAGCGGGAGGCTGCGGTGCGGCCCCATGCCGAGGCATAGGCAAAGGCAGCCATCTTCTTGCGGTCCCGCAGGTCCCTGCAAAACGGAACGAAACAGAAACGGCAGCGGCGACGGCAGCGGCGGCGGCAGCGGGGAGCGGTGTGGGTTAGCCGGATCCAGCTGGTGGGCGGCAGGACGCAGGGGTGTACAGTACAGGTCTGGCAGGCGCGCAGCAGGGTGTGGAGCATGACCCAGGGAGCCTGGGTGGGGGAACAGACGGCTGCATGGTCGCATGCGAGAGTGCGGGCGTGGCGAGTCGGGGCGGGCCGGGCGCGGGGAGGGGAGCCAACACCTGCCCACGTTGGTCGCCACGCGTCCCTCAGGGGGCCGCGGCACCCCCAGGGTGACCGACACATATGTGCGCCGCACACTGCGCTCCTTGAACTGCAGGCAGGCCGGTTTGGGATGGAGGGATGAGGGACAGCAGGGTGGTGGAGTGCAGTGGGCGGGTCCTCTTTGGGGAGGTCTTGCTCCCGAGCTGTGGCAGGCAGGAAGGCAGGCAGGCAGGCAGGCTGGCTGGGACGACGCCCTCCCTACTGCCCCCAAGTCGAGGGACGCCAGCCCGGCCCCGCTCGCCTGGTGCGCCAGGGACATGTGCGCCGCATCAGTTTTGGCCACCACCACCAACCCCGTGGTGCCCTTGTCCAGGCGGTGCACGATGCCGGGGCGGACCGTGCCGTCCGCTGTGCCTGCTGTGCCTGCTGTGCAAGCAGCCGCGGGGCCCAGCAGCACGAAGCCGCCGCCCTCCTCGTCGTCCCCCTCCTCGAGCTCACTCTCCTCCGGATCCGATGCCGCCGCTGCTGCTGCCGCTGCTGCTCCTCCTCTTTCTCCTCCTCCTCCTGCTGCTGCTGCTGCTGCCGCTGCTTCAGAGCCCTGCTGCGCTGCACCTGCAGGAGGCTGCAGGGCATCGGCCTGCCGGCTGGCGCCGCTGCCATCCGTCGCCGCCTCTGCCGCCGCCGCCGCCGCCGCCGCGCCTTCGAGTGACAGCGGCGTCGCGGCGCCGCTGCCCAGCTGCATGGCCGGCAGCTGGCAGTGGTGCAGCAGGGCGTTCACCAGGGTGCCGGTGTAGTGGCCGGGCGAGGGGTGCATCACCATGTCGGCAGCCTGCAGCCAGGAGGCGGCAATAGCGCGTTGAGCTGCATGAGGTGTGTAGGTGCCAATGCGGAGCGGAGCAGCACCCCGACGCCCACGTTGGGCGCCTGCTCACCTGCTCTTGCGCCTGACTGTGTGCACCTCCCCCATGCTACACATCGTCCCGGGCCACCCCTTCCGGCGCCTCGACAGCCAATCCCCGCAACCCACCAGCCACCCCCTCCCATTCGTCAACCCCCAAACCTGCAGGCTCTGAACCCAAAACCCTGCAGCAACACCCACCCCCACCTTGTTTATGACGATCAGGTGCTCGTCCTCAAACACGATGTCCAGTGGGAGCGCCTCGGGCCCCGCCTCCAGCGGCGCCAGCGGCAGCACGGAGCAGCGCACCACGTCGCCGGGCCGCACGCCGTAGCTGGCCTTGGCCTGGAGCAGGGCGGGCTTGCATGTTTGGCATTGCAGGGAATCAAGAGGAGCTGGTGCCATGCATGGGGTTCTGGGGTGCAGCTGTGCACACCGGCGATGGTCGGCGGCCAGCCCCATGTAGGCCGAGAGCAACATGCACGTGCATATGCGCTTGCCCCACCTGCAGCCGTCCATTGACCGCCACCAGCCCTTCCTTGATGGAGGCCTGCAGCCTGGCGCGGCTGGCAGAGGGCAGCCTGGCTGCCAGGAAGGCATCCAGCCGCAGCTTGCTCTGCACGCAAAGTACAAGGGGATGTTGGCACATTCCAGTAGAAAGGTTCAGGAGACTGATGTCAACAGCAAGTGCGGGGTGCGCACAATACCACACAGACACACTCTTGCCCCACCTTGCTCAGGTCAAAGTCGGTCAGTGATACTACCAGCTCGTGCTGCCCCTGCTGCGCCTCCGCTTGTGGGCCCTGCGGAGTGCTGAGACGCGAGGTGTGGGCACTGGGCACCGGCAGCGACAACACTCAGGCAGCAGCGGCGGCGGCACCAGCGGAGCTATGTTTGGCGGCACCGCTGGCATTGCGAGCCGCGCACAAAAAACCTGGACCTGCCTGCGCATCGGCCACGGCCGCATGCTGGTGCCTGAGCTGCCGGGAGCCGGCGAGCGCCGCTGCCCGCCTGCCCATGCTCCCGGTGGCCTGTGCAGTGGCACCCACTAATCTGAGCATCTCCAATTTGCGATAGCAGGCGCGATCAGCCTGTTTAGAGACGCAAGGCCATGTCAGCAATGCATTCATATCGATTTCGCGGCTCTCCCAGCGTTGATCGCTGACCTGAAGCTCAGCTGCATACCCACAGCCCCTCACACGCACTGCAAGCTCCAGCTGCAACATGTCTGCGCCCCTCATAAGCCAGGGAGAGGTGGAATGGATCACCACCGGCGTGGCATGCAACTGCAGAAACGATGGCAGGCAGCGGGAGGACTTTAGACCGCTCAGCGTGAAGCTGGGCGAGCTAGCGCAGGCCACCGGCTCTGCAAGGGTGCAGCTGGGCGAGACGGACGTTATAGTAGGCGTCAAGGTGCGGCGGCAGGGGCCGATGGGCGCGCCGCAGCAGCAGGCAGGCGCGCTTCGGGCGGCGGGAGGTGACCGGCGCCGAACCTGGAACGACGGCTGTGTGGCTGCATTCCGTGATTGCTTGCAGGCTGAGATAGGCAGCCCGGATCTAGACCGGCCAGACTGCGGGCGGCTGAACTTTGCGGTGGAGTGCTCGCCAGTGGCCAGCCCCGCCTTTCGGGTGCGGCGCTGCTAGGCTGCTCCTGCTGCTTGCCGCTGGAAGCGCACCATCCTGCGCCTCACATCGTGGACAGACCCTCTTGCCGATTGTCCCATTGCAAAGCTGGGCTCCATAGCCAAGTGGGAGGTCCCCTCCCTTTCTGAACGTGTGCCCACGTGCTGTGGGTGGCTGCGCCCGCAGGGCCGCGGCGGCGACGAGCTGGCTGGGGAGCTGTCTCGGGCGCTGGAGCGCAGCATGTACCCTGGGCCCTCAGGTCTGCATGCCCTGGCAAGCCGCCCTCCTTGTCCCATGCATCACCTGCCGCAGGCTCTTGCACACGCACTGCACGGCCTTAGCATCCCACCCTTCTCTCCACCTCCGCCTCGTGTCGCTGAAGCGGCCGCTTCCCTTGGCGCTGCTGCAGGCCGGGGTGGAGGCGTGGACCTCTCCCTGCTCAGCATCGTGTCGGGCAAGACGTGCTGGGTGCTGTATGTGGACGCGCTGCTGCTCAACATCGGCGGCAACCTGCACGACGCGGTCAGCGTGGCGGCCAAGGTGCGCGCAGGGCAAGCGGTGCCTGATGGCCCTTGCTGCCGATGGCAGCGTGGTGGCGGGCGGCAGCGGCTGGCGCCCGCACCGGCTGCTGTGGGGGCGGCGGCTGAGGTGCATGGCTTGGGGAACTTGGGGTTTGTGCGAGCCTGAAGCAAGCCGAGGGGAGAAAACACATTCAGCCTGCGATTGATCCCTTGGCTGAGTTGTTGCGTGCACAATGCCGCAGGCCGCGCTGGCAGATGCCAAGATTCCAAAGGTGGAGGTGCAGCCGGGGGAGGACCCCACAGGTAGAGCCCAACCGCCCGCCGGCAGTGGCACGGCAGACGCGCCGGGCTCTGCCTTTGTGTCGCCCAGATTTGCTGCCCTACAATCCCACTTGCTTCTCTGTCGTCCTGCCTGTTTCTCTACAAGATTACAAAATTCTGCTGCTTGTTGCAGATGAGCCAGACTATGAGGTGGATGATGACCCGTCAGAGGCGATGCGGCTGGACGTCGGTGGCATGCCCATCTGCGTCACGGTGTCGCAGGTGCCTGCGTGGCCGGCTGGGGCTGGCGACGGCGGCAGGGAGGCAGGCGGCGGCGGCAGGAGGGGTCGTGAGCGGCAGGAGCGATGCCGGGCAGCTTGCCTGCCTGCTGTGCCAGGCCTGACCGGCAGGCCTGACTGGCATGCCGGCTGCCTGACCGCCTGCAGATTGGCGGGCACTGTGTGGTGGACCTGACGGCTGAGGAGGAGCTGTGCAGCTCAGCAGCGCTGCAGGTGGGAGGCCTGGCACCCTGTTGGTGGGCCGTGCTCGCTGCTGATTGGCGTCCAGTCACTTAAACCGCAGTGCAACTTGCAACGCAAGCATGCCCTTCTCGCTTGCGACAAAGGGTTCACGGCTCTTTTCTGCGGGCCCCTGCCCCGCCATGGCCCGGCAGGTAGCGGTGGACGCCACCGGCAACGTGTGCGGCACCACCAAGCGGCGGCGGGGAGGAATAGAGGCCAGCCAGGCGCTGGTGGGTGGCGGTGGGGCCGACCGCTGAGCAGCACCGCTATGCTCTTGGATGATGTGCCCTGCCTGCCAGCCCGCGTCCAAACCCAGCAATAAGAACGGCTTCCGGCACACCCCCACACGCATGACACCAGCCCAGCCCCTTGCTGTGCTGTACAGGAGATGGTGGAGGCGGCGCAGCGGGCGGCGGCCAAGCTGCACGCGGCGCTGAACGAGGCGCTGGGGGCGCAGCAGGCGCAGCAGATGGCGGTGGGCTAGCCGCAGCTGTCCTGCGCCGGCGCCGGCTGTGCGCTTGTGTGTTGACACAACTGTGCAATTCACAACTGTGTGCCAATGCAAGGGTGTGCAACTTAAATCGAGTGAAAGCGTGTTGGTTAGGGAGTACTCATTGCAGTTCAACTTGTACTCATCCCTGAGGCCATCCTCCGCTTGCTGCCTCTGCCCCTTGCCGCTGCCGCTACTTGGCGGCCACCGCCGCGCCGCCCGGCCCGGCAAAGTAGGCGCCGGTGTTGAAAGCGCAGCAGTAAGCCTGGGGCGGCGCCATGCTGTCGGCCAGGCGCGGCACCGCCCTGCCCGCGCACCCGCCGCACTCTGCGGCGCAGTGCTGGGTCAGCGTGCGGCGCTGCCAGTCCTGAACCCGGATGTAGGGGGCGGCGCAGCGCCCCAGGCGGGCCTGCAGCCAAGGGGAGTGAGCAGGGGGTGGCTCAGGCGGCCAGGCAGGCCAGAAGCGCACCGCGTGTGATCACGATCCCCGGCTGGCTGGCGGACAAGAAAGCGCACTTCTTGCAGCTGTAGCCGCACCCACCATTTCTGCGCAGGTGATGGGAGTGCACAGGCCGGCAGACCCTGCGGCGCACACGGGGTAGCCCTGGGCCGCCACGCACGCCCACGCGTCTTCGGCAGCGCTGCCCGAGGCGCCGGCGGCGGCCGAGGAGGCCGCAGGGGAGGGCACGGAGGTGGCGACGCCGGTCAGCTGGGCGGGCTCGCTGGCGGCGAGGCCCAGGCGGCTCAGCGCCCGCACTTGCACGGTGTAGGTGGCGCCCCGGGAGAGCCCGCTGATGATGGCGGCAGGGACCTGCGGGAGGAGTCGGCGGGTGCAGGTGTGGCATGGCAACTGTGTTGTGCACTGGACGGCTGGGCGGGCCCAGCCCAGCCCCATGGCCCGGTCCCGCACGTGAGCGCCCACTCACGCTGCTTGCAAAGCTCTTCCCGGACCCGGCTGGCTGGCCGTCCTTGAAGATGGCGATGAGGTAGCCGCCGCAGGTCGCGGGGCTGCCACCGTCGCCCGCCTGCCAAGTCAGGGAGACGGCCGTGTCGCTGGTGGCGGCGGCACTCAGAGCCTTGGGCTTGGGGCAGCCGGCCCTCCCTGCGCCCAGCAGCAGCTGGGCGTGGCAGGCCGAGCCGCAAGCCACGAGAAAACCGACAACGAGCACGCCGCGGTGCGGAAACATGGCTCCTGGCCAGTGGAAACCACTCAGTTTAATCTTTCGGAAAGGTTGAAAGCAATGGGGTCTCGTTCGATGCAGGGTCCCCGAAGTCATCTCGTTGCTGACATGGCGGCGCCGGCGGGAGGGAGATGATGAGGCACTTGCATAGGTCCTGTTGAAATGCGATTACATGTGATGAAAAAAGAGGATTTAGAGGCTGTACAGGTGGCTAGAGACCATGACAGGCCATGCAGGCCAGAAGATGGAATGTCAAGCAGTCGAGCGCAGGAGGCAAGCCGCCCAGCAGGGGCGGCCATCAGCGCGTGAAGGGGGTGGCTACATAGGCATGAAACAGGCAGTGTGCACTGGAGGCGCACCCATCTCAACTAAGGTTCGTGGCCAAACAGCTCGCTCATCACCCTGTCTCCGCCTTCAACCTGCAGGCATGGCGCGCAGCGGCCAGCCTCCAGCAGGGCAAAGGCTGTCGGTGCCTCCCACCGCCGGCTGTGCCCCAGCGAAAGCTGCTCCAGGGACGGCTGCTGGGCGGCCCATCGGAGGATGCGGATTTGGCCCGGGCTGTCAACAGAGCCAAAGTGCTGAAGACCCAGACGCTTCAGCTGTGGGCCCAGGCCTGACAAGGGCAGGGCTGACGCTGGCAGCACAAGCCGGGTGACGCTGTTCAGCCATGGCCCCGCTGGCAGCTGGCGGAGGCCGTAGTCGTTCAGTTCAGGCGAGACCTCCCAGCCAAAATCTTGCAGCCGCTCGAGGCAGGCCAACTCCAAAGGCAGCCCCGTCAAACTGCTGATCCCTTGCAGCAGCAGACAGGTCAGCTGCGTTGCCTGGCGCATCGCAGCGTGCAGCGCGACCATGCTTGAAGTGCTGACTCCATTGATGCGCAAGGTTTCCAGGGACGCTGGTAGGGCCAGGGAGTCGGGCAGGTAGCCACTTCGGCTCAGGAAAAGGTACTCCAGGATTGATAGGCCCTCCAGGGGGAGGGACGCCATCTCCACATCATCCATCGTGAGGCGGCGCAGGCTTGCCAGCTCTGTGACCTGCATCGCACACAGGCGCCACATGTGGTTGGCCATATGCTGCTGCAACGACTGGCCTACTGCGGCGAAAGGCGCTCTGCATCTGCGTTATCGAAAATACACGCGTAGTACGCACCTGGTGCAGCAGGGTGCTCCCCAAGCCACTATGGCGGTAGCAGCATAGGTGCAGCCGGGTCAGTGATGGTGGCAGGCGTACATCCGACATGGCAACTATCGGGTAGCCCGACAGCCACAGCACCTCCAGGTCTGTCAGCGTATGCAGCGGCCCAGCTGCCACTAGCCTGCACTCGGCACCGAGACCTTGCAGCGAAGCCATTGCACTGATTTGCAGCTTCTGCAGGCTGCGCAGGGCTGACAGCCAGCTGCTGAGCCCAAAAGGAACATGCACCAGGCTGAGGTCCAGCTCTGACAGCCTGCCTGCCGCTCCACAGCCAACCAGCATCGCAACCAGGGCTGTCTCCAGCTCAGCAGCCGCATCTAATTGCTGGTGGTCAAGCTCCACTCTCAGCCGCAGCCGCTCAACATGGCGGGCAGCCCGCAGCAGCACCCACTGGCACACCAGCCGCATGCGCCTCAAGAATGCTTTGTAGCTGCCCCGCAAAATGAGGCTGACTTCCAAGGTGGCCAGCAGCTTGCGGCTGTTGCTGAGAAGCCACCACCGACGGCAGACGAGAGGGATAGTGCGGTGCCTGCAGGATATTTGAAAAACGAGGGTTTCGGGGAGCTGCTGTGTTTGCAGCCTACAGCGGCTCTCCTAAACTGCGTCTGCGAACACGCGCCGACAGCGGCGGCCCCTCCCTCGACCGCCGGCTGCCATGTCCGTTGCAGTGGCTCGCCTGAGCAGGAGCTGATCCCCCAGGCCACAACCTGAGCCCAGCGCCTGGAAGACGAGCATCACAGGCTCGTCAGGCAGGCTGCTGAAGTCGGCTGGTGGGGCAGCGGCCAGGGGCTGCCGCGGTTGCTGATGAGCACTCATCCAGGTGCTCCTCCAGGTGCTCCTCTGGCGAGCTGGCTGCCCCAAACCGCTGCTTGGGCAGAAGTCCAAAGGGGGTGAAGTAGGCTAGAGGGCCTTGGAGAGCGGGGCAGGCCTTGTGCAGTTTGCAGGAGGAGCGAGAGCAGGCAGCGAGGGCTCACAGGCTCACAAGTGGGGCTGCAGCAGTGCGTGCTGCCCGGCGGGGCACGCCGCTTTCCTGTGCCTGGCCACCAACACTGCTGGTCATCGACGGCTCAATGGATTACACGAGTGCTCACATCAGAAGTCGACTGCCCCGTCGGCCTTTGGCGGGCCGCCGCACAGCGCCGCGGCCGCGCTCCTGCCCGCGCCACCAGCCGCCTCTGCGTCTGCCAGCTCCGCCTCGGGGTCAATCTCCACAGGTGTGATGGCCAGCCGCCGCCGCTTGTGGCGCACCAGGTGCAGCGCGGCCTCCGGGGCCGGCGGCGCCGCCGCACCCAGGCAGGGCAGCTTGCGCAGGTGCAGCAGGCCCGCCACGCTGGCGGGGTCTGGCGCCAGCCTGGCGCAGCGCGGAGCAGGGGAGCCGCCGAGCGGGCAGGGGCAGGCTGTGAGACGGCAAGATCAGCTGCCGCGGGGTCTGCCCCGGGGAGGAGCACCAGCCTGTACCAAGTACCTCCAAGATTGCCACACACACACACACAGCCACACAATTACCACCGACGACCTACAAACCCAGGCACACACAGCCATAAGCACTCCCGGCCGCCCACCTGGCGATGTCTGAGCCGTCTGCCACGCTCTCCAGCGCCACCACGCCGTCCACCAGGTGCTGCATCAGCGCCAGGTCAGACTGGGAGAAGAGCGGCGCGGGCACGGACACCACGGCGGCGCACCGCTGGTCCCTCACCAGCCCCTTGAGCTGCAGCAAGGCGCGCGCCACGGCGGCGCCGTCGGCAGTGGTCGGGGGCTGCCCTGGCTGGCCGTTCCCGGACGGTTGCTGCCAAGAGCCGTGGGCGCAGCTGCTGCCGCCGCCGCCGGCCGCGCCCCGGCCCTCCTCCTCCCCCGGCTGCCAGCCCAGTGAGCCGAGGGACAGCACCGCAATGCGCCCCACGTGCTGCGGACCTCGAGGCGGCAGCACGGAAGGCGCAGGCGCTCGCGCTCCCGTCGCGGGCGGCGCCGGAGAGGCTGCCGCCGCCGCCGCCGCTGCTGCTGCTGCGGGACCGCCGCCAGCTGGCTGGGGCGGGGCGAGGGACTGCACGAACGCTGCCGCAGCGGAGAGCAGCCGCGGTATGCCGTCGCCGCCGCCGCTGCTGCCATCGCCGCTGCTGCTGCTGTTGCTGCCGCCGCCGCTGCAGTCTACTAGCTCGGCTCTGCACTGCTGCAGGCCCTCCTCTCCAGCTGCCTTGAGCAGGTCGAAGCGGTGGCACCAGTCCCTCAGGCCCGCCGGCCTCCTGGGCGTGCCGCTACCGCTGCCGCTGCGGCTGTCACCGGCGGGCGCATGCGCACCTGCCTGGCCTCTGCTGCTGTCCACACCACCGCTGCTGCTGCTGGCCAGGCTTCCTGGCGCCCGAGTCGCGGCAGGGGCACCAGCTGGGCCGCCCTGAATGTATCGCCTGTACTGCCAGGCGATACGAAGCTTGTACTGCTCCTGCTCCTTGCCCCCCTCGTCCTCGTCCTGCAAGCAGAGAGCGGCAGTTGGGAGCAGAGGGAAAAAAGCAATGCGCCCCCCAAGGGTACTCAAACACTGCTCCTAAGGCTGTGCAGGCCTGTCACATGCCAGCAGTACGACAGCAGCAGGCAGATGCCTCCACACCTTTTCCGCAGCCCTGCCCTTCAGCTCTGCGGGAATGAACTTGGGCAAGCCTCCCTCCGGCGCTGGGGCTGCCGCCAGCAGCAGCGTCTGCAGGCGGCGGCAGCAGGAGCTGGCTAAAAAGCTGCAGCCGTATTCAGCTGCGCTGCTGACGGGCCAAACACATCACAGCCCCAGCTGCTATGGCCAGCCTGCCGGCCGATGCGGGCCGCATTGCAAGCCCCCTTTTCACTGGGCCTGCTCACCTGGCCGCAGGCAGCGCTCTCTGCCAGGAAATAGCGCAGCAGGGTGGCGTGGTGGGCGGACCATCCATCCTCCAGCAGCAGGAGCAGGCTGCCCAGTGGCAGGCCGCCGCCCAGCAGGCGGTCCAGGTCGGGGTGCCCGCTGGACAGCAGCGTCTGGCCGTGCAGCCCCGGGCGGGTGCCGGGATCTGCACAGCGCCATATACCACGATGGGGCCCGTCATCCAGTCATCCAGGAGCCGTAGGAGGCGCAGAGCGCCATGGCATGGCATGAGGGCGGCGGGCAACAGCAGCGAAGTCAGGCAGCCTCAGTTGATACCATTGCACGATGTCACCTCACCAGCAGCCGTAGCCAGCCCCTTGCGCAAGAAGCTGCCCTGCCGCATCGCTGGCTGCCGTCTGGGCTCCCTGCTGGGGCTGGCTCGTGGTTGAGTGTAGCCTGGGGATGTACGGAACGCAATCAAAACATGACAGCGGTTCACGGCTGTGCCGTGCCGTGCATGCTGGGGCGGGAGCGGAGCCATGACACGCCAGTCACCTGCTGCCATACGGAGGCGATGCAACACATTCTGCTCCCCCTCCCTCACAAGGCTTACTGGCACTTTGCGTTACAGAGGACTCGCCACTCAGCAGGCTCCACATAAGAAGGCACGGTAATAAGTTGGACGGGCAGTGCGGCGTGTATGTAGCGTGTGGGGCGGGTCGGACGCCGATCGAGCATGTACAGGACACAGGGGTAGAAAGAATCAAATTGAATAAGGGGGGTTTGGTGGGAAAGCCGGCAACAGGCTGGCTAAGGAGCGTGCGTTTCCAGCTCCCTCTGTGCATGTGGCGGGCGAGCGCGGCGGGGCGCGGGTGCCACCAGGAGAAGAGGGTCGGGGGGAGGGGGGTACAGCGCTGGCAATCGCTCAAAGGGCAGGGGCAAATACAGGCAGGGCAGTGGGACGTAAGAGAAAGGAGGGGGTTCTGGCGCTGGGTGAGGAGAGATGAGAGGGGGCAGGGCTCAGAGAGTGTGGTGGCAGTATGGAAGAGATTCGCAGTGTGCGGCCGCACGTCTCAGGTGCGGCGCGGGGGTCTCACGCAGTAAACACAGCAAGCAAGCAAAGAAGACGGGTGTGCGCACGGCAAAACGCAGAGGGCCACAGCTGGGTGTGTGGCGGCGGGGTTGGTTGGATCAGATATTAGGCGCATCGCGGGCGCAGAGGGGTTGGCTGGGCAACACGGCGCTCGGCATGCCGCAGGATGGGGATCGGATCGGCTCTGGGGCGGCGCGCCGCAGCGGGTGCAGGGCGCACCGCCCACTCAAAACCAGCGAGGCAACAGATAGAAGCAAGAAAGCAATCCATCCCCAGGGCGGGGCGGGGCGGCATCAATCGGCGAAGAATCAATCGGTAAGAAGAGAAAAAGGCTGGGGCTGCAGGGGCACGGAGGCGCTCCGCACCCTGAAGAGCGGGTGAAGCGCCGAGCGGCGCGCAGCCATCCAGGCAGCGCGCCGCGGCACAGCGACGCTCCAGTATATGTGGCATGTGGCATGGGCATGTGGGGTGAAGGGGGGGCTCTCCAGCCGTGGGGGCGCGGCTGGGCCGGCCGGCGGGCAATGGGCCTGCCGGAGGGCAATGGGCCGCGCGCAGCCAGGGTGCGGCAGGTCTTGGCTCACTGCACCTTGGCCTTGGCCAGCTGGCGTGCGGCGCCGCCGTCCGCGTGCGCAAACTGCTCCTCGCAGGAGGCCCACTTGAGGTATGCCGCCGCGCCCACCGCGTACAGCCCCGCCGCCACCTCAAACACCAGCGACCAGTCGTGGGTGTAGTGCAGCACCTGGCCGGTGGCGTAGATGGAGACTGCGGGCGGGGGCAGGGGGGGGGGGGGGGGGCGCGGGCTGGGGCGAGCTGGAGCAGAGGAGAGGAGAGGGTGCAGCGCGCCGCCGCCGGGCAGGGGCCCCGCGCCTGGCGCACCCACACGCGCGGCAGCCGCAGCGAGGAGCGCGGCATGCTCAACAGCAGCAGCATGTCCCCGGGGAGGCGGGCGGGCGCTCACCCGAGGCCGCCACGCTGGCGAGGCCGTTGGACAGACCGTACAGGATGCCGCTGTACTCCCTTGAGATGTCCTGGTGGTTGGAGCCGTACCCCGCGGCGGAGAAGCCGCACAGGGAGCACCAGGCGGTGACGAGCGCCACGGCGTTGGTGACCGAGGAGGCGCCCTCACCTGCGCCTTGGTCCGCCGCCAGCTTCACCAGGCACACGGCGGGGCCCAGCGAGGCGATGCCCTGCATCAGCTTGCGCGTCGTCGTCTTGTCCAGCACCCCATTGTTCACCAGGCCGTCCGCGATCCAGCCGCCCGCGTTGGTGGCCACCACGGTGACCACAAACGGCAGCACGGAGTAGGCGGCGGAGGCGGCCACATCCACGCCGTACACTTGGTTGTAAAAGGTGGGCAGCCAGCTGCGGGGGGAGCCGACGGGGGAGGGGAGGGGGCGGGACCGGGAAGGGGGTTGAGGGCGGGGGCAAGATGCAGTGCAACAGGGGGAGTCTGCGCAGCCCAGCAGCCGAGCCGCCGGCCCAGCCGCCAAGGCAGCGGTACGGCGCCAGCCGCTGGCCCAGCAGCCAAGCCAGCCAAAGCCGGCGGTACGGCAGCAGCAGTACGGCAGCAGCAGTACAGCCACACACACACACACACCTGAAGGCCAGCACGTTGCCCACCGACACCGTGCACTGCGCGGCCACGATGGCCCAAAAGGCGGGGTTGGCGGCAAAGGCGGCCCACGGCACGTCCTGCAGCTGCAGCTCCTTGGCCGGGACGGCGGGCGCCGCGGGAGGCGCCGGCGCCGCGGCGGCGGTGCCGCGGCCGGCCGCACCGGCCTCCAGGCTGGGCGGCGCGCCGTCGCTGACCAGCGGCAGCCAGCCCAGCAGCCAGACAAAGCCCAGGGATCCAAAGATCCAGAACACGCTCTCCCAGCCGTAGTGGGCGATGAGCAGCGGGCAGAGCATGTAGGAGCCAATCGTGCCCAGCTGGTGGCCTGCAGGCGGCGGGTGGGGAGGGCGGCCGGGCGTTAGGCAGGCTGCCATCGGCATGCGCCGCAGCTGCGAGCACCACGTAGCAAGGGCCGGGCCGGCCGGCCGGCAGCGCCCAGGCACGCAGGCAGGCAAGGCAGGGTGGGGCGGGCGGACATGGGGCGGGCAGACGCCGGGCGGCGCGCACCAGAGTAGATGAAGGCCAGGGCGCGGGAGCGCTTCTGCTCGGGCACCCACTTGCGGGCCAGGTTCTGAATAGAGGGGTAGGTCACGCCCTCGCCCACCCCCATCACCGCCCTGAAGGTGCGGCCACAGGCGCAAGGGGCACGGAGGGGCGCAGGTCAGGCAGCAGCGAGCGAGGAGGCGGATGTGCCCCATGCCTGGGGTGGGCACATGAGCAGGCACATGCCCCGCCGGGCAGCGCGGGGCCAGCGCGAGAGCGCCACAGATCCAGGCCATCCAGCCGGGCCAGCCGGCAGACCCCCTTTCCACCCCAGCTCCAGCGCCGCCCGGCGCCAGCCCACCTTGCCAGCATGAGCTCGCCCAGGTTGCCCGCGGCGGCCGAGGGCGTGGCGATGGTGAAGAGGGACCAGAGCACGACGCCGATGGCCAGCACGCCTTTGGCGGAGTAGCGGGTGGCCAGGAAGCCGCCGCACAGGTTGGTCACCATGTATCCCGCGAAGAAAGCGGAGGAGACGGAGCCCTTGACCGAGTCGTCCCACGAGAACTGGTCGGACATCGGCAGGATGGCGACCGACATGGCGGCGCGGTCGATGGAGCAGATGAAGGAGACGGCGGTGGCCAGCAGCACCAGCAGCAGCGCATCGCGGCTCAACGGCGCCTCCTGGGCTCCGTCGGAGGGGGCGCGGCGGGCCGGCTGCGCCTGACTGGGCGCTGACGCGGCCTGGTCGGCCAGCACGCCGCCGTACCGCTGCTCCAGCTGCTGCCGCGGGATGGCCACGGTGGTCAGCGCCAGGGAGCGCAGCACCGGGCTGCGCACGGCGGCGAGGCGGGGCGCGGCGCGGCGCTCTGGGTATGCGCGGGCGCGGCCGCTGGTCGAGGGGCCGTGGTCGGCGCCGCCGGACTCGGCCGAGACGCGGAGCGGGCGGCGTGCCGGCGCGGGGCGCCGGGCCCCGCAGGCCAGGCGGTTGAGGCCCTGCACAGCGTTTGTGGGGTGCCAGGAGTGAGGCGGACCGCGTGGACGCGGCGGGCAAAAGGGGGAGCAAGGGCGTTGCTGCAGACCCTAGGCGCGAGATGAGCCCGAGGGAGGGAGGCTGCGGGCACCAAGGGATGCCAAACCCCTAAATCAGACCTCCGACTCACTCGTGTCGCCAACATGGGGTCCTTAGAGCGGCTGCAAGCGTCCCCTGTCGCAGTTCCCAGCGGACTGACTACTGCCTGCCGGTGCACGGTGCCCGCTGCGTAGCTGCTCCGTTTTGGCAGGGCGATGCGATGTTCAGCCAGCGCCAGGGGAGATGGAAGCAGCAGGGTGGCCGCTGCGCAAATGGAGTTCCAGACGTTGATCTCCTGACGCAGCTGCCGCGGTAGGCACAAACGCGTTGGAGGAGATAGGTGTGTGGGAGATCGATGTGGAGGAGCGGGCTGAATGGACTTATAGCGACGGGGGGCACCGCACGCGGCAAGTCAGTCTGTTTTCGTCGAGTTTTCTTTTTTGCAGGCGACCGCTGCAGAGACCAACAGCTGGCACGCGGAGTCCTCCCGCACCCTCATATTGATTCCTGCCGCCGAGGGGACTCCAACAACGCATTTTCGAGTCCAAACGGCGAAGCTCAGCCCCCTTCCCTGTAGATGGCATGTCGCGGCTCTGCCCCGCTGTCGCCCGCATTGAAGTCCAGGCATGAGGCTCGAGGTGGGGAGCGCCCCGGGGGCCTGACCACCGCACATGCCGTCTCCCGCCAAACCGCCTTGCGTCGCTGACACTTTTTCCCCCTGGCCCTGCCGATGGCAGGTGCATGTGCACAGCGTTTGGGAGGGCCACAGGGCCGGCCAGGTGAATCGCCGGGCGTTAGGCCTCTTTCAGAACCGCCGTCGCCCTGGTGCCCGCCCGCCGCTGCGTGCCCGCCCTCCACATGATACACTGCTTGCTTGCTGCAGCGTGCATCCTGGGAGCTAGATGCTCCTGCTTCCCGTCTGCTGCTGCTGAAGCTGGAGGGCCAGGCAGCGCTGCCCCTGCTGCTCCGCGCCACGAGCGTGTGCCTGGCGCCGTTGGTACCACAGCGCCAGAGCGGCGTGGGCGGCAGAGCACACCGGGGGCCTGTGCAGTTTGAGGAGCTCCAGCTCGTGGACGCCTGCGGCAGCTGGGAGCTGCAGGATGCGCCTGCGCCAGCGTGCAGTGCAGCGGCCGGCAGTGGGCACATTTCAGAGGCACAGGAGTGCCATACGCCGCATCGCGTGCTGCACGTCATTTATGCTGAGGGAGCTGCAGCTCCCCACGGCAGGCGTGCACCTGTTCAGCCAGGCCGAGTGCTGGGGGTGGGCACGCTGCAGCTGCCCAGCGCGCGCGCGCCTGTGGGCAGCGGCGAGCCGCGGTGCAGCGGCGGCAGCCCCATCCACGCAGAAGCTCTGCAGTGCTGCAGCCTGGCGTGCCCCGCTAGCGGGGTGCAGGTCGGCACCATCACATGTGCAGCACGCCTGGTGCCGTCCAGGCCGTCCGCACAGCCACCACAGCCGCCTCCGCATTCTCCCGCCGCGCGCCAGCAGTGGCAGGATGCAGCAGAGACCCAGGCCCGCAGCCCAGAGAGACCTGGGAGGTGCCGAAGAAGCAGCCCTGCCAAGGGCGGGCATCGCAGCGTGCGTAACGTCGGGGTGCAGGCCTCGCCCGCCAAGCAGACCCTGGGCCAGCCCCTCCCAGCTCCCGCACCTGTGCAGCCAGTGTTGTCAGTGCCATGCTCCATGCCATCGGTGCTCCTGGGGCCAGCAGCAGAGGTGGCGATGCCGGCCGCTGCTTGGGGAGTGGCATGCTACTCCGCCACCATGCAGCCCACCGCCCCGGCAGCGCTGGCCCAGCCACCACACGTCTGGCAGCCTGTGGTGCCAGCAGGCAGCCTGCCATGCTGCACGCTGTTCCCAGCGGCGGCGCCAGCTGCACAGGTGATGCCTGCATTGTTGACCGGCAGCCTGCCGTCCTGCACGCTATTCCCTTTGGCACCGCCAGCACAAGCAATACCACAGCAACCGCCAGCAGCGGCAGCAGCCAGGTCTGAGCAGCCGCGGCACGCAGAGCATTTCCTGGCAGCCACTAGCAAGGCTGTTGCATTCTCAGGAGGTGAGGTGCCTCTGCAAGGCCCGCCGCGTGTCGTTGACGGCGGCGATCCAAGGATAGCCGCCATCCATGCAAAGGTGCGGCAGAGCGCCCCGCAGCGGCGCCCCAGCAGCTGCAGCGCAGTCCTGCCCAGCCAGCAAGGCGGCAGTGGGTTCCAGGGCTTGTGCCTGCGCTCTCCGCTGAAGGCGGGACGGGACAGGGAGCCAGAGAGGCTGCTGCAGCACCACCTGCGCGAGCTGCCGCCCCGGCACAGGCGAGTGCCCAGCCAGCTGCATGCTGTGACGCGCTGGTTCACATGGTTCACACACCATGGGGCTCAGCCTGGCAGTGATAGCAGGCTGCCGAGGCAGGGGCACGCACGTCGCATGGACTCAGCAATGTGGTGTGCACTGCATGGCGGCGTGCAGGTCTCCGGTGAAGCGGCACGAGGCCATGGCTCGCTCGGCGCTGGCCACCGCCCCGCTCGCCAGCACCTTCTGCTGCCCAGGCTGCCTGGAGCCCTTCATGCGGGTGGGTGGGTGGGTGGGCGGTGTCCTTTAGGGCTGGCTTGACAGCAGGGGTGTTAGGGAGGTGTTGGCCAATCCCGCGCCATGCGTAGCTGCGCGATGGCGCAGGCGCAGATGCCGCCTGCACTGGCTGAACACGTGCTGGATCTGACCCTTGTGCAGTTGCCACCATACAGCCCCAGCAAGCGGAGGCCTCAGTCAGCCAGCGCCGCCGTCCAGCGGCAGGCTGCCCAGCCCGCACAGCCGGTGGCGGCGCCCGCTTGCCCTCGCTGCCGCAGCCAGGGCCGGGAGCAGGCGGGAGCTTGGCCCTGCCAGCCTGGGGTCGCCGCTGGCCCGGCAGCTCAGCCGCCCGAGCCGGTCGGGAGCGGCGCGTCCGGCAGTGCAGCAGCAGTTTCTGGCGACAGTGGGCAAGTCCCTGGGCTGGAGATGCTGCTCTCACAGCTCCACGTGCATGGCGACTGGCGCAGCCTGCTCATGCGATCGCTCCAGGGATCCATGCAGGCCGCCTCGCCAAGCGATTCTGGGGGCGGCAGGCCAACTCCCGCGGCGGCGCATGCAGCAAGCGCAGTTGGCGCCAGGGAGCCGAGCGGTGGCAACGCATCAGCAGGCGGCACGCCTGCCCGAAGCGCTGGGCGGTCCAAGCCAGCGCCACGCAGCCCCCAGAGGGGCAGCCCCGGTGCAGCAAGCCGCGGGAGGGCTCGGCAGCCGCCGCTCCCAGGCGCCCCGCCCAACGAAGCGTTTATGAGACGCACCCAGCCGGGCGAGGCTCCTGCGAGGTCATCCGATCCTGCCTGTTCCCCTGCAGTGGACACTATGCAGCAGGTGATGCTGCGGAGCCAGCAGCTCATAGAGCGCCAGCAGGCAGCAGCATCCGCGGGGCGCGAGCACGCTGCCGAGGCGTACCCCGCACCCGCAGTACCGAAGCCTGCAGTACCGGAGCCTGCAGTTGCCAGCAGGCCTGCACAGGGAATGGCCCCAGCTGGGAAAGCGGCAGCCCCAGCTGGGCCGCAAGGGAAAGAGGGTGGCATTGCGGCGTGGCATGGGGAGGAGGTGGCAGCAGATTGCGGCGATGCGGAAGCCATCCTGGCCCGCCTGCAGTGCCGCCCGCTGGATCACAGCCCCTGGTCGGCAGCTGCAGCCGCCATCAAGGGAGAGACGGGGCACGGCGGCAGCGACGGCAGCGATAATGGTGGCAGCAGCAACCAGGGCAGGTCTGCCTATGCTTATTCTGATGATTTCGAGTCGGCCAGCGAAGTGTGATGTGGAGCAGTCGACGAACGGGCTGACATCACTCCTGCAATGATGATGTGCTCCCCTTGTTGAGGTGTGGGGCGGGAGAGGCTTTGAGTTACGTCACGCAGCGCTGTATGAGATCAGGTGCTGGCAGGCACACACATGGTAGTCAAGAGAGGCAGGCACAAAAGGGGCTCAACCAGACGCCGGCAGGAAAGAAAGGGGCAGCCGCAAAGTCAGCTGGGAGGAAAGGAGGTGGAGGTCAGCGGTGCGACAGCCGCACGCCGCTGGGGTCAATCGCTCAACACGCACGCAGGCATTGGAGGAGGAATCGGGTGCTGCAACTCGGCGCTGGTTGGGACGGAGGGCAAAGCAGTGAATGGGAGCATCAAACAAAGACGAAAAACAGTCGGATGTGCAGGGGCCTTGGCGCCTGGGGGCACACAGGGCGGGATAGGCGGGTGCGCAGGCAGCCAGGAGCTGCTATGTATCATATGGTCAAGAATAAAAGAATAAGGTCTGAGGGTACTGTGTGCGCCGGCTGGTGCACGGTTGTGGGGTTGAGGCAGTGCAGGGGTCAAGCGCGGTGCCGCAATTGGAACAGGCAGCGAGGGACAGGAGGAGGAAAGAACAACAATAATGGGGCTTCCGAATTGTGTGCTGGGTCAGTGAAAAGCGAAAAGAGGGCGCGAGGGCAGGCTCCAGCATTGCTGCAGGTGGCGGGTACATGTGGAAAACAGGGGAAAGGTACAGCTCAGGTGGCAACATTTGAAAAGCAGGCTCTACAGCATGCACGTGCGGTACCAGCGCAGTACCATCTCTAGTCCTCCATGCTGTCCCCGCCGCCATTGCTACCGTAAGATGCAGCGACCGGCGGCGCAGGGGCCCCAAAGCGCGCAGGAGGCAGGCCGCCTGTAGCTGCCGCCGGCAGGCCCTGCTGCTGCGGCGCCGTCGGCGGCGCGGCCGCGGGCGACAGGGCGGCCTCGAGCCCTCCCGACAGCCGCTGCTCTAGGGATCCGCCCGATCGGGAGCCCGAGCCGTGCCGCTCGATGGCACCCAGCACAGCGCCAGCCAGGTGTTCCAGCGACACGTGGCTGCGCTCCAGCCCTCCAGGCAGCTTATGTGCCAGCGGCTCCGCGTGCGGGCAGGCGGGGTGCTCATCCGCAACCGGCATCATAGCTGTGTCGCACTCTGCAGGCAGGCAGGTAGGCGTGGGGCGCAATGACAGGGTGGGGTGTTGGCTGGGCAAGCAAAGCAGGGAGCGTGGGTACAGGGCTGGGTGGCAGGTGGGCAAGCAAAGCAGGGCAATGGCGGCCACAGCAGCGCTGCCCACCTGCCGGTGTTGGCAGCTGCCGGCCGTCGGCTGCCGCCTGCTGCTGCTGCTGAGCCTGCAGTAGCTGGTGCACCAGCGCCTGCACCTGCACCTGCACAGGAACCAGGCAGCGTGTGCGTGGGCGAATGTGTGATGGTGGTTGAGGGTGTGTTCATTGCTTCGGGGACATTTTCGCTAGCCGAGGCGCGCGCAGTGCTGCAGGTTGGCCAAGCAATCAGCAAACAGTGCAGCCCCAGCCGGCTGCTGATGCACAGGCATGCCCAGCCCCAGGCGGCAGAGCAGCAGCCAGCGACAGCTGGCAGTAACATCGCAGAAGCTGGGACGCACCTGCTGCGGCGCGTGGTGCGCAGGTGGCTGCCACTGCTCGGCGGTGCCTGGCATCGCCTGCTGCTGCTGCGGGTCCTGCTGGAGGGGCGGACTAGGGCTATACGGCACCACCGCCCAGCCAGGGAAGCCCGGCCGGGGCTGGTGCACATACTGCGCATGCAGCGACAGCTGCAGCTCCGGGCCCAGCGCCAGCGCGGCGGCGGGCCCTCCGGGTGCCAACTGCTGCGGCGGCAGCACCCAGCAGCACCCTGCTGTGCTGCCCAGGCGGCGGCGCTGCCGTGGGCCGTCACGTGCAGCCTCCAGGAAGTCGCCATGATCGCCCGTCGCCTCCCCATCGCGGCCTCCGGTCTGCTGCGGCGGCGGCGGCGGCGGCTCAGCATCGCCCGCCGCCAGTTCTAACTCTGGAGCAGGCTCTTGATGGGACCCCTGCTGCTGCTGCTCCTGCTGCTCTTCAGGCTTCGACTGCTGCTGCTGCTGCTTGGGCGGCGAGCTGCCACGCGGGCGCCCGTGCGCGCGCTGGCCCTGGCCACCGGTTGCCAGCCGCGCATGCGCGGCGGCGGCAGCGGGCCAGGGGCAGTAATCTGCCTCTTCATGCACCTCTGGAATGGTGGGCAGCGTCTGCTGCGGCGTCTGGGCTGGCTGGCCGCGCTGCGGGTAGGCTGGCGGCGCTGTGCTGGCCATGGGCTGCGAGGGCGATGCGGGCGACACGGAGGCGGCGGCGGCGGCAGCTGTGCCCGATGCCGTCGCGGTGGGGCCCGCGGGGCTCCGAGACGAGGCGCGCGCCGCGTCCACCTGCGCGCCAGGTACCATGGTGCGGCGTGAGAGGATGCCATTGCTGTTCCCCGCTGCAAGGGACGTTGGCATAGCTGTAGCGGCGTCGGCGGCGGCGCTGCTCATCTCATCACCCGCAGGTGGTCCCCTGGTGTCGTGCGAGCCCCTGATAGCTACCTGCGCGACCTTCATCTTTTTCAGGGGCAGCCCATCGTTCAGCGAGTCATAGCTGGTATCGAGAGGCAGAGCCAGAGGCTCCCGCTTGGCTCCCCATTCCATAGCCGCCGCCGCCTCGCACAGCTGCAGACGGCGGCTGGGCTGCTCCAAGCTGATGATCAGCGTCTTCACCAGCGCGTGTCGAGCGGCTCAGGGGCCTGGCGGACGCGTCGTTAGGCCACGCATCCTCCGCCTCAAGGGTTTCGTGGGTCCCGACTGTGGGCGCCCCGGGGCTTCGTATCGATGCAATAATGTTTCGATCAATCTCTGCGTGAAGTTTAGGGATGTCGGATGGCTGCAGGCATCGAATGTGGCTGTCACGGGGCTCCAAGATGGCGAGGCCTTGCAGCGGTGGTTTGATTAAAACTCGCATGCATGCACCCGCATCGATCACAGTGACCACGCAGCACCATGGCAGCACCCACGCTCGTTGAATTGCAGGTGAGTTTCCCCTGCACTCATGTTCAAGCAGCGGCGTGCCCAAACACACAGCTGTGCTCATCCTGCTGTGTACGACGTGCAGGTTGCTGAGGCGATGTTTAAGGAGGCATTCGCTTGGTGAGGGAGCAATCAAATGGCGGGAAGGCTGTGTCTGCGCTGTGGGGCCTTCTCACCCGTGCAGCCTGGCCGGCAGCAGCGGGTGATTCCAATGATGGGGGTGGTTCATGCAGCGGGGCGCCGGGTGCCGCCACTTCGGGCGGCGGTCAGGCGACCGGGACTAGTGGGAGCAAACTTGTGCTTGACAACCAAGAGTCAGCCTGGCTTTAATCTGTGCTCTGTGGGCTATGACCATGCAGGGTGCGGGAAGAGAGGCCAAATGAGAGGCGGCCGGACTTGGCGGTAAGGCTGGCGGGCGTGGCCACCGCTTAGCACCACCACATCCAGACACGCGCACACACCATCTTCCCCTGCTCGCTCCCCCGCAGGCATTAAACATTTGTGAGGGAGACCCGCGGAGCTTGGGGCATACAGGCCGCGGCTACCCTCCTGGGAAGCTGCCTGCCCACATCCCGGTTGGCTTCAAGTGCGAATGCCGCGCCCTGGCGTTTGTGCTGGCTCATCTGACGACCACCATGTCTGGCGTGGAGCTGGAGAGGCGAGTCAACGAGCTTGGCGACGGCGGGGGCGCCGACGGAGTGCCCGAGGGCTTCTGCGGTGGCGCGGGCAGCAGCCGCGGCCGCCGCTGCAGGACCGACAAGCGCCCGGCTCGCAACAGCTCATCTTGCGCCGCCCGTGCCGCACCCCGCAAGGCGGTGTCAGTCATCGTGGGTGGGTGCTGGCGGCGGTGATGGGCCGCGCCGGTGCCGTGCTGCAGCCAATCAATGGCCCGAGCGGCAACGCTGCAACTGACGCTCCCTGGGCGCTGGCTGGGCCGCACTGCAGGCGGCAACTTTGCAAACCGCATCCTGCTCGTCATCCTGGACCTCCTGGGGTTCTGCATCATCGAGGGTGGGTGGGCCTCAGCTGCGAACGGGCACCTACACGCAGCCTCGTGCCGCCAGCCCCGCTGCAGCCGCCCCGGCCTGGCCGACGCCATGCTCAAGTGCCGCTCTCGTGGCCGCTGCATGCAGGCTAGGGAGGCCAGGACAGCAAGGCGGTGAAGCAGGTCGGTGACCAGGACTTTGACCACCCCGGCAACGCCGGGCTGCTGCTGTGCCAGCAGGCCGGCAGCCTGGTGCGCCTGTGAGCCAAGGTGCTGGGCCCCAACAGCCTGCTGCGCACCACCCCCTACTACCTCTCCTACCTTGGTGTCGTCAAGGTGGGGCACCGAGCATGGCACTGGCGGGCCTGGCATGGGCAGCAGGCGCAGCAGCTCACACACCACTTGCAATCGCCCCATGACGGCCTTTGAATGACATCAAGGCGTCACCTGCAGCTGAGCGCGTGCCTCCCTTCCTCCCCGCCAATCCAACTCGCAGGTGGTCGGCAGCTGGCGGTGCACCGCTCGCGACGGCTTCAAGCGCTGCCGCTTCCTGCTCTGGCGCCCGCCGGGCCAGGCGCCGCTGCCACGGGACGATAGCGGCCAGCTGCTGCAGGTGTGGTGCCTGCGCTCCGGTCTGCCCAACCCATGCCGCTGATTTCCGCAAGAATCTCACTTCAGCTAAGAGCGGCCCTCGTGCGATCCGCATCAACCCGGCTGCCTGATCGCACGGTGCATTGCCGCCGCCGCCGCCTGCAGCTCTACATGCGACGGGAGGCGGGCGCCGAGCAGCAGAACCAGTCGGTTGCAGAGGTGAGGGCGGCGACGGCGGCTGCCTCGCCACTCCGGCTGGATGGGATGGCCATGGCGGCGCCGTGCACGCGTGGGCCGCGCCGCGACGATGTGGCCTGCCTGGCTGCCTGCTGCTGATGCAGGTCACCCAGGCGTTCTGGGACAGGCGCTCGCCATACTCCAAGCTGCCTGACATCTGCAGGTGGGCTGCCAGGCCAGCGCTGAGCTGGCTGGTGGGATCAACGCTGCCCGGGCCGAACCGAATGGGAGACCCGCTGCCAGGCCCTGGCCACACGCAGCAGCGCTGGGAGCTTGCCAGCAGCCCGTAGCGCAGCTGTGGCGCGGTCGTACAGCAGCTGTGGCGCGGCTCCCCGCCACGCCTGGCGGCCTGCCTCTGTGCATCCAACCCGCCTGCTTGCCCTCGTGCCCGGCTGCAGCAAGTGCTTCTGCGATGCAAATGAGGACTCGGGGGCCGCAGCACAGAACGCATCTATCCTGTGTGACAGGTGAGCGTACCCGCCTCCGCGGCCTGCCGAACCTTCAGGGTCTGCCGCACTGCCAGAGTCCTCCCAGACCTGTCGTGGGTCCAACCCCGCTCCCACCAAAGCAGCACAGCAGCCCCACCCCCAAGCGCTCCCGACCCATCCCTTGGCTGCCCAAGGCGCTGCCTGGCTGCCTGCAACAGGAGTGGGCCTGCTTGCCGTGCTCCGCTGCGCAGGTGCGACGTGGCGGAGATCTGTCGGTACTGCCTTTCGGATGAAGACTACACCAGGCGCGTGCGCAGCACAGCACAGCACAGCACAGCACAGCACGGCACGGCACAGCACAGCACGGCACAGCGCAGCGTAGCACACCAACACTCACATGAATAGCGGGGCAACGCGCTCGCTCTCGCGCTCGCCGCAAGCTGCGCCAGCGCGACTCCGGCTCTGCCCCCTGACGAGCCCCGTGCATGCCGGCTGCGCCGCCTGCTGCTTGCAGGCTGACCACCACGGACGAAGCCTGGCTCTGCCAGGCCTGCGCCGCCGGCGGCGCCGAGGCGGCGATGGCTGCCGGCATACCGTGCATGACAGCCATGCCCGCCCTCGTGCAAGCGCATGCCGCCGCGGCAGCCGCCGCGCTGGCCAATTTCGATCGGGAGGCGGCGGAGGGGCAGCAGGGGCAAAGCCGTCAGCAGCCGGTGAGGCGGCAGCGCAGGCAGCGCCAGAAGGGGCGAAGCCGCCGGCAGCCGGTGGGGCAGCAGCGCAGGCAGCGGCAGCAGGAGACGGCAGCCGAGCAGCAGCAGGAGACGACGGCCGAGCGGCAGCAGGAGATGGCGGCCGAGCGGCAGCTGCTGGCAGAGGCGGCCGAGCAGTGGCAGGCGCGGCTGCGGGCGCTGCTGCGGCAGGCGCAGACCGCGGCGCCTGCCGGCGGGCAGGAGCTGCGGGAGCAGCAGCAGCAGCAGGAGCAACCGCTGCAGCCGCAGGCGCAGCAGCAGGAGCAGCAGCAGCAGCAGCAGCAGGAGCAGCCTGGCGCATCCCACCCAGCATCTCCTGCCCAGCCCCAGCAGCCCCAGCAGCAGCACCAGCAGCACCAGCAGCACCAGCAGCGAGAGCAGCGTGCGCCGCCATCCTTTGCCCACCCTGCTGCCGCTGCTGGCCCTGCTGCCCTGGGCCGCGGGCGGGACCCGCGCCTGCGAGTCTTGCAGGGTTTGGTGGCTGCGGCGATGGGCGGGGCCGGGCGGGCCGGGCAGCAGCGGCCGCAGCCGGAGGCCCAGCAGGCGCAGCCCGTTCAGCCGGCGATGGAGGCGCCGCAGGCGCAGCAGGCGCAGCAGCACTCGCAGCAGCGGGCGCAGCAGCCGGCACCGCAGGCGCAGCAGGCGCAGCAGCAGGCACAGCAGGCACAGCAGGAGGGGAGCACGCAGCTGGTGCAGCTGGCGGCAGGCGGCGAGGAGGTGCAGCAGCCGGCGCCAGCAGCTGCAGCCGAGCGCGGCACCATGGCTGCCGGCCCTGCAGAGGCAGGCAGGAAGCGGCAGCACGGGCAGGCAGTCGCCACCCAGGCCGCCGCCTCTGTGCCCGCAGCCAAGCGCCGCGCCGCGGCAGAGGCCACCAGCGCGCCAGCGGCAGAGGCCGCGGCGCCAGCCGCCGCTGCCGGCCGCGGCGGCACGCCCGCCACTCCCGCGACGCTGGGCCTGCAGCCGCCGCGCCACGCCCGCCACTCCCGCGACGCTGGGCCTGCAGCCGCCGCGCCACGCCACGCCGCTGGCGCCAGCAGCGGGAGCCGCGGCGGCAGCTGGCGGCCCCTCTCAGCAGGCCACGGCTGAGCAGCCGGCAGCCGCGGGGCAGGCGCAGGGCGCGGCGGCTGCCTTCGAGCTGGCCGCCTCCGAGCCAGCGGCCGCTGCCGATCCCGCCGTGCGGCCTGCCACCGAGCCAGCTGCGGTGCCGCCTGCTGAGCCAGCGGCAGAGGCAGGGCCAGATGCAGCGGCGGAGCAGCGGGCGGACCAGGTGTATGCGCTGCTGTGCGAGCTGCAGGGGCTGCTGGAGGCGGCGGGAGTGCCGCCCGCCGCCCGCCTGGACTTCTCCCAGCGCTTTGTGCCGCCCGGCGGCGGCGCCAGCGCTCGGGAGCTGAACCGGCGGCGCGTGCTGGCGCACATGGTGCGGTGCGCCTGCGACTGTGCCGGCGCCGACGGCGGCGCCGCGCGGCTGCTGGACCTGCTGCACCGCCCGATCTGAGCAGGCCGCACACCGCATGCGCGGGGCGCGCTGGGAGCTTGCTCCGGCTGCGCCACAGTCAGCCACAACCGCTTGTGCTCAATCAGTCAGATTACAAACGTGGCATAGAAATGTAGTATTCAATTTGGGAGAAAGCAGTGCAGAAGGGTGCTATGACTCAAGTCGGAGCGAGTGCGCTAAACCTAAACCCTAAACTTGCAGCTGAGAGGCAGCGGCAGGAAGTCGAGGGCAGGCACCAGCAGCCTGCCCACACAATACTTTCCAGTATCGGTTTGCAGCGCTCGTCGTTATCGGCACGGGGTCTCAGAGCTTGCTGCCATCTCCGCCGCCGCTCCCCCGCACGCCCAGCCGTTCCCCCATCAGAACCCTCGTCTCCAGGCTTTTGAGGCTGCGGGCGGGCGGTGGCAAAGGGAGGAGGGCAGGCAGGCGAGGCAGCATGCTGGTCAGCCAGGTACCGCAGGCATGCAGGGAGGCAGGTGAGGCAGGCAGGCACATCAGCTTCCACGAGGCGGGCAGGCGCCCACCTGTTCTTCGCCAGGTCGGCATCCCACACCGCGGCCCCCTCCTGGAACAGCACCACGCAGGTGCTGCCCCCAAACGCAAAGTAGCCGGCCTGCGGCGGAGAGGGAAGCGCATGGATGGGCACAGGCGGCGTGGATGGGCACAGGTGGCTCCAGCCAGCAAAGGCGCGGCGGAGGAGGGTTGGAGCAAGCGGCCCCGCCTCGCTCGCAACTGCTGCAAGTTGCAGTCGGCTGGCCGGCGCGCCCCACCCCTGCCAGCGCGCCTCACCTCTGCGCCTTTGGCCACCTCCTGCCCCACCTCCACCGTCCAGCGGATGCTGCCCACCACCTGCACAGCCCAGCGCAGCACGCTCAGCAGCACGCGGTTTGCTGCAGCCCTTGCCAGCGAGAGCCGCGCCGGCAGCCGCATCGTACTGGCCCGGCCTGCCAGCAAGGCACGCTCCCATGTGCCGCGCCCCACAGCACGCAGCCCAGCCAAGCATACGCGGCAGGCCCTGATGCGGCCCAGCCCTGGCAGCCCAGCTTCCCCCCAGCTTCCAGCCTGGCTTCCGACCAGCTTCCAGCCAGCTGGCGGCCTCACCGTGGCCCCCACCGCCACGTAGGCGACCAGCCCGTACCCCGGCGCCCGCAGGCACAGCACGGAGCGCTTGTTGCGGGTGAAGACGTCGGCGAAGCGGGAATTGACGGCGATGGGGTTCACGGTCAGCAGCTCGCCCGGGATGTCGGTGATGCTTTCCACCCGGCCGGACACAGGCAGGTGGAACCTGCACAAGCAGGGGGAGGGCGGGGCGAGGGGTGACGTGGCAGGGCAGAGAGGGCCGAGAGGCCCGATTGCGGGCTGGGCGTGCGGGGAGGGAGGCAGGGCCCCCTCGTGTGGCTACACACACCACTCCTTCCAGGGGGCCTCCCTCCAGGGGGCAGCGGCAGCCACCCCCTGCTGCCCCCCACCTGTGGTAGTCCTGCGGGGCCAGCCTGAAGATGGCCATCGACCCTCCCCTAAAGTCCGCCGCCGTGCAGACGCAGCCGCCGCCATCGCCGCCGCCGCCGCCGCCGCCGCCGCCTCCGGCGTCCTTGCTGCTGCCGCCGACGCTGCCCTTGCTGCTGCTGCCGGCGATGAAGCCCCCCGAGGGGTCGCTGGGCTGCTTCTCGGCCTCTGCTTCCGACTCCGGCGCCGGCGCCACAGCCCGAGGGTCGACGGCGTCCGCGCCGCCGTCCGCGCCGCCGTCGGGTGAGGCAGCGGCGGCGGCGCCGGCGTCTCCCAGCATGCCAGCCAGGCTGAATTTCTTCCCCTTGATCCAGCACCGCGTGGCATCATCCACACTGTTGAACACAGTCAGCCTGCGGGACAGGTGCGGCAGCAGCGCAGGGTGCGAGAGGGAGCTAAGCATGCGCGCCCGGCAGTCCTGCCCAGGCAGGCAGGCAGGCGGTCAGGCGGGCAGGCGGGCAGGCAGGCAGGCGGGCAGGCAGGCAGGGGGGTCGACGGCAGGAATC